TCCATTTATGGTTATTCAAGGTATATCCACATGGTGAATTTTATATCTGCCAGTGGAATACGATTCCCTTTTGTTTAGCTGCAGGACTGTAGTATTATAAAGCTGCAGTTTGTATTAAAATGGCATTTCAAAATGAAAAGGACATTTTACCACAAATCAAAGTTGACAAAACTTAAGTTCTTTTTGGAATACCAGTTTAGAGCAACGAACATTCAGTGCAAACCTGTATCAAGTACTTGATGTGCACAGTAAGAAAATTGTTGCAAATAATGAATGGGGGAATATGTCCCTGCAGTGTAGATTTTGAAATATTTAACAATGTATTTTAGGTAAAGAATATTAAACACCCAACTGTAATCATATACAAATTCAAAGCTTGTCAGAAAAGAAATTGATAGGATCTGTGGAGCTGCCCTCTAATGTGTTCATAATTGCCAAGGGCAAGCTGCGCACATTTGTAAATTAGCAAATGTACTGAAACCTATTTATCACAGGTGCAATCATTGAATAGAATTGACTTGTAGTCACCATAGTTTGGGCTAGAGGTGAATAGCTCTATACACTACTGACACTCAGATAACGAAAGTGGCTCGATATACAATTATTTCTTTTGTTCTGACGAAAGGTGAAAAAAAAATACAATGAAGTAATGGAAATACAGATGACGGTGCTTAGCAGGATTCCCATCAAGACATCTCTGGAGTCGAACACCTGACGCTTATGCAGTAATATAACCTGATGTTCAGTCGGCCTCACAATTAGCATTTGCTATGCAGTGTTTTTGGCAGCTCCCAAGTTTGTTTTCCGAGTTTTGTGTATGGATTTCAACAGTAGGTGACCTTCCTATATACCAGGGTTTCTTGCTGATAAATCTCTTAGATTATAACCTTTGTACGCTAGAAGAATGAAGGAAAAGAAAGCATTTCTGCAGGCGGGTATGCCTCAAAGGGTATCGGCTGCCTCAGGAACTCTGCACATACAGTATCTTCTTGCCTTCAGTAAAGCAACTCTTTACTTCTTTCAGCAATGTTGTGTTACAGGCCACTGCGGCAGGCAGGATGTTGTGTTTTGTATTGAACGTGGGATTGGCCAATGTGGCTTTGCGCAGCTGAACTCAAGTGCCTTTGCTAATCCAAAGGTTTCAGTCTCCCAGGAGAGGTAAAGCTGCACTCCTCTCCAGGCTGTGTGCCGCGATAGCGCATCGGCACCAGTCCTGTTCACCCTTCACAGCACTCCCTGGTCTTGCAGCCGACTGCCATGCCTTATTTCTTTTCAGCTGGTTTTGAGACCAGACCTCCAGAGATAAAGGGGGTAATGCATTTATTAGCTCCACCACCTTCGACTTACAGGAGATGTTGAGTGGAATTGAGTCTGGGCACTGGAGGCTGTATCACTGCTGTTCCTCAGCAAGTGACATAAGCTCTCAAAGATCTATAATAACCACTTACACTCCAGTGATGGAGTAAGATGGCAGTAAGCCCACTTAATCCCCATGCAGGTTTGGAACCTGTGATCGGTAGTGTAGCTGTTGCAGGCAGATCTTTGCTTGTGTAGATGGGTTTGGGGGTTAATCTTTATTCCCTGTGGTAGGGCCTTGTTAATTTTTTTGCCATCTGTGGCGTTGGATAAGTGGCTCTCAGCTTGCTTTTGTACTCTCAAATCTGACTGCACTGGGACACTTTTGCTTTGATTCTGCAGTGCAGTGCAGCTGCTTCAGTATCAATGTGCTAAGTGGTGTCTATCTCAATATTAGCAGCTTCAAGTTCCTGGGTACCTTCATCGCTAATGATTTAATGTGGTCCCAGCATGTAACTGGAGCTACAAAGGAGGCACAACAGTGCCTTTACCACCTCAGACAGTTCAAAATATTTGGTCTAACTTCAACTGTCCTTACCACATTTCACAGGTGCATTATTGAGAGTGTGCTCACGTGTGGTATTACAGTGTGGTTTGGCAGCAACTCATTGTCTGACTGGAAGGCATTACAGGGGGGGTGACCAGGTCAGTCCAGTCCATCATTGAAGTACAGCTCCCCTCTATTTTTTACAACTCACTGTCTCAGGAAGGATGGAAGGATTGCTAAGGATACCAGTCACCTTGGTTTCTGAACTGAACTGATATTATGTTGAAATATAATTTCCACTTTGGGAAAGAACAACAGTGAACATGACCCTCCATTCTCTAAACACTTATCAGCATTGATACTCCTTGAGTTCAATTGAGTAGAAAAATTATCAGTTTATCATCCTAAATTAACAAATGCTTTTTAAAACTGTTGCCTCACTAATTCTGTTCAGTTTCAAGCTGCCTGATAACGGTAAGAGTTAAAAAAGTGATAAGAAAGCTGTTGGGCTGCCAATGGCAGCCTTAGAGCAATTATAGTTACAGCAATATGTGCCAGAAAGGCAAGTCACAGCAAATCACCTGGTAACATGTAAGTAGCTGGGGAAAATTCTAAACCAGAATACAAAATCACTCATTTTTATACCATCTTTTAGCTTGTGGGCCTCAACATTCCCTAAATATCAGGGCAGGCTGCCTCATGAGGGCATCATTTATATTGTGCACTTCAATTTATGGAGTCTGGGTTAAATGCTAATCTCTCTCAGGGCTGAAGAGAAATCGTTTAACTGTTCTACAAAGGGGGAATGCCAATGATAGTGCGACATGAACCGCATCACCAACAAGACTTTAATCGGGAACAAGAGGAGGAGGTGTGTGTGTGAATGGGGAAGGGGGTTTTAAGAGGATGGAGGAAATGTGATGAGTGATAGCCTATACATGTGTTCTGTAGCAATAAGACATCTATTACTCACACACCCTTTTCTGTGGATGGGGACTCAAAATCATTATGCCTAGATCCTGGTGAAGCAGAACAGTGGAGGTGCAGCTGTCTTTCGATGTGAGAAAGCTATCTGGGTGGCTTGTAGGTGTTGGAAAGCAAGGCCTGGGGGCAGGTGGATTGGTGGACGAATCCAGGGGGAGTATGCAGTATGCAGACTTAAGCCTTTTTCCCTTTCCCCTTTACTTTATCCCAAATAAAAGAAATGTTAAGTGTTTATGACACAGAGACCCTGGTACTGGAGAAAGCTGTCTTCCTGCAAGTGGAGAAATGAGTTGAAAGCAGGGAAGGCAGGCAGACCGCTACATGATGGTAAATGACATATCCTAATTGCCTGCTCTCTGCTCGCCTCGTCGCTGTAAATCAGATGTGACTTGCTAGAGCAAAGAGGGAGCAGGACTTTGCAATCCCCTATTAGGTGCGATGGAGAGAGCAGGGAGATCCGAAGAGTAAACACAATCACGACACGTTTTTCTGCCAATTTACCACCGGCCTGCTGGAATTGACTTCTTTAATTGTTTGAGAAAGCAAGAGAAATGAGACGAGACAGAAAGTTATTGGGACGGCGTTGGAGGGGACCGGCGCGGCTTCTTTGTATTCACTCAGAGGTCTGGTGCTTTCATCGCGGGCCGTGCCTCCCCTTCTCCAGGCGCTGTGGCATAAAATAGGGTTTAGTGCCAGAGCATTAAATACAGAGTGTTACCTTTTAATTCACACTTCATTCTCAGAGCTGGCCAGCGTGCCATCAGCTTCTTTAAACTGTCCCCGTTATCTTGAATGGCATTTTCAAACCAACAAGCAAACAAGCAGACCTCGGGGAAACAATGAATTTCTTGATTCATTTCAGACTAGCGTGTTCTCTGCTTCTGAGAATAGTTGCCACAATGTTTTTGCATCACTAGGCTCCATAAGAAGCTGGCTGCGACAAAAATAATGTGTTCTGTCGTAAGAACATTTTCCAGACTTTTAATCAAGCAGCTGTAAATTGTCATTTTGTTTATAAGATGATCATGAGTGGATTTCTTATCTACTTTTGTTTAGTGAAGTCTTATTTTCCATCTACATTAACATGAAGAAACAAATCGTGTTCCAGAACTGTGACAGCATTTTAAATGGATGAATTTAATTACCAGCTTCTACTGAACCACAAAAGTTATTCAAATGTGAAACTATTCCATTTTACTGATATTTACATTTGTGTGAAATTAAACAGAATCTGTTAGACTTGGTATGTGAAACTCTTCATTAGCAAATACTGGAAAATAGCAGAATCATATTGTATCTACAAGTTATTTGATGAATGGTGACTGTATACATAGCCTGTGTTGAAGGCGCTGTGGTTGCCCAAGGTACAGCAGTGGAAACAAAAACATAATTTCAATTCCTTGCTAGCAAGTGTTGTATAGTTGCAGGGACATGAACAAATGGGGATATATTTATATATCAAATGGGCTCAAGTCACAGAACCATATGGATGAACTTTCCCATGTTTCCAGGGCAAGTGCTGCACTTTTTAATGGATAAAATGAATTTCTGTGTCATCCTTTCTTCTAGACAGTGGTACTGTACTGGATAATAGATGCGTTGTCTTCTACAGTTGGGTGGATTTATTGTAAAAAGAAAATGATATCCAATACAACAATTGCAATTTATGCTATTTTGTTCTGTATTCAATTTTAAGGATTTAGGAGCACTTGTGGAAGATATTAATTAGGCAGTTCTGACTATAGTAATTGGTAATGGCTCTATAGCATTTAGTTCTTCTACGGTTTTTAAGGCTGTCTGTCATGATGAATTCCTTTTATTCTACTCCGATTTATATGCAGCAGAAACCAGTGACCCCATTTTAATATTTACAGCAAGTATTATTATTTTCATTTAGCCCTGCATCCTGTAGAATTTATCTAATTAAACCCAGGTGGGATTAATTAATCTATAAAAAAACTATAAATAAATATATCTGCTTCCTGATATAAAAAACCTTGCTGCAAGTAAAAAGTAAAATGGAGTAAGCCTCCATTAGCCAAATGCATTAGCCTCAGACAAAGGTAAGCCTTCTCCAGCATAATGGTGTGTCTTGTCAATTTTTTGGGTTGCAGGAAATTAAAGAAAGGTCCAGTGTAAGACTCTAAGCCAGTTCTGCTTTCTTTTTTCACAGATGATAGGATGCTGCAGCTAGCCGGCGTGGGACTGAACCCCACCTGAACTTTTCCGACCTTTGAACCCGTGTCTTCCCACAATGCCCTGCCCTTGCCGTGGGAAGCTGAAGCTTTTGGTTGCATCTGTGGCATTTGTGCTCCTGCTGACATGGCTGTACCTCTTGGTGGGCAATTTGGAAAGTGAGTTTAATTCACAGTCTCTTCTTAAAACTCCTGGGAATTATTGCTAGTTTTAAAGGGGAACTGCAGTCTCAGTTTCTTAGACCAGTTATTAAATCTCTGTAAGAAAATACGTTCATTGATGCTATAGTAAGATTTTACAAAGAAAAAAATTGTGAACTTTGTGAAAGTACTGCATAGTTGTTATTTTGTCGCAAACCACTGGTCTCCCCACGGGCGAGAGTAAGAGTTCACACCTGTTGTGATGTGATGCAGCCCTTCCTACTCACTAGTCAATGTAATAACTGATGTAATGTGGTTGTAGGTTGTGCTGCAGACATTTCACCGCAGAAAGTTTCCAACATGGTTAGCATGCTGATAAGTTCCACTATAAATTCCAAGTTAAGTTCCTTTTATCGCCAAAACTGCATTGAAGTCAAGAGCAATATTTCTATTGGATTAAAAGAGATGCACAGCATTCACAAGCATAAATGTTTACAATGTAATTTGGCTGCTTCATGTCACCGAAAGTTGTTACCTTGTTCTGAATCGCTACAGAAAAGCGCTATATAAGTGTAAGCAATTATTATTATTATTATTATTATTAATAATAATAATAATAATAATAATAATAATAATAATAATAATACCGTACTGCACATACCTGGAATTTTGTCTATTTTGTTGTGTTAATTGAAGGTTTTACTTCAATTTTAAAGTAACTTCAAAGTTACTGTGTACATTTTATTTTTATTGTGGTTTGAAATGCACTCATCAATGCCGACCCCGAAATATAAAAATAACGCTGCAGTTCCCCTTGAGATTACGATGGATTCCGTGCACTCAGTAAGGAGAAAAAGAGAATGCATACCCAAGGTTAATGAGGTTCTGTGCAGTGGAAGTTTATTAGAAATAATTAAAAAATCAGGATGTGCCCTCTCGACTCCATTATGATTTATAGAATCCGTCAACATTTAGTGCAAGAATGCCTCCATCAGGACATTTTTATGCTCAGAAACATTGACAAAGATGAATAAATCATAATACAGTTAAAAATGTGTCCTGCTTCAATTGTTCCATGTGCTCTGTAAAGCCATTTTCATATGGTGAAGCCATTCCTATGTTTGTTCATTATTAAAAAGTACATCTACTAGAGTGTACATATTGCTGTTCTTATCCCTTGAAGGCTGATGTGTGACCATCCTGTAAAAACAGAAGATAGTGTTATTATTTAGATTTCACAATTGTGTCTAAAAAATAGGTTTTCTTGAAGAGCTCTTTCTGAATGAATAATTATACAACACAATAATTAATTTGTCAACATTTTTTAACTTGAATTAATTTTCAGATTTTTTTTTTCTTGGTGCCATTTTCCGAATTCCTCATTGTGGTCATTGTATCATGAGATAGACAGTTGACATTCGATATTAGCATGTAACCTTGTTTCAAGGTTATCATATGTAAACAGTATTTTCTACAGATCATGTTGTAACTTTCTTGAAAAAAGCATCTCTTTCTGACAATCTGTACAACAAGGTCTTTTCTATGTCATAACTCGTTTGTGGAGGACTGCCCTTTAATTTGTTTCATTGTCAAATAGAACAGAAATAATAGGCTTGCCTTTAAAAGTATCCAGCTAGGTTTTATAACAGTAGAGTTCCCAATAAAGCAGTAGGAGTGAAGAAATTACAGCAGGAAATTTTACTTGACCTTCACGTAATGGAACACCAGACCTCCCTTGTCCAGCCCTATAGAGCTGGAAGATTTTTGCCTAAAAGCCAACTAATCCCAAATGACAACACAACATTCTGAGAACCTGCCGAGCATTTCTGAATAACTCTTAAGCAACTGCAAAAAATGGGCCACATAAATAATAGTGTTGTTCGGCTACAGCTGTTCTTGCTTAATAGCGAAATCAAAGTTTTTTCCTTGACTGATCAACCACGAGTTATTGCGGAGGTAATTCAAAAAACAGTCCTAGTTTGCTTATTTGAAATTTAACTCGCCACCCTCCCTGACACATAGGGTTCTTAAATGAACAGAGGTTAGAATTAATGAACTGAAAGGTTATTTGGAGATTTCTAGAGGCATATTGCCTTGTAATGATAAAAAATCATTAATGCATAAAGCATTACATGAAGAAATATGAGCTGGGTAAAGGAGGAATCATATAAAGACAGATTTGTAATAAATATGTTGATTAATTTGTTTCAAAATTATTTAGGACAAGAAGTACAGTATATACTGAATATGAAAGTACTGTATTACCCAGAACTAAGAGTGGTAATGAACAACTTAAAAAGATGTGTTCAGCCATTTTTTATAACATTTTAAATTGTTAAAAAAAATGTGTTGTAATGGATAGATACTAATAAAGCTAAAAAAAAATGGCAATAAGAAATTTTAGCCACATGGCTCAGTAGGTTGGGAAGGGAACATTTTGAATTTTGGGAAGGGACATCTGCTAATGATAATTTAAAAAATTTGGAAAAAAAACGATTAATACAATTTTGCGATCAGTCAAATACAGGACACAGTAAAAGTGCTCTCCTATTTCAGAAATCTGTTGTAGACTACCAGTAGAGATGCAGTCGGGTCAGGAGCACTGAAAGGGTATCATCTTTCCCCAGATTATGTGAAAGTGGTTTAACTCGATGATTTAAAAATTAAATATTGAGGGCTCTCCATTGCACAGGCTATCTCTCTACGATCACAAAAAAACATCATATAACAGAAAGGGATTGGATAAAGTGTCACACTTCACTTAAAAGATTCTAATAATGTTATACGGGAAGCAGCAGATTCTGCAATCAGTCCTCGTGGCTGGAGGGTGCAAAAGAAAAATAGATTCGGAATGAGAGTGGGAGGGGTGAAGAGTGACACTGAGGGTCCTTGTCAGAGGGAGGAGGAAAGTAAGTGGTGGAGTCAAGATGAAAAGAGGCCTACAGAGCCCTACAGAGGGGAAGCAGAGGAAGGGAAGAAGTGGGGTCATACTTGGGGAGGATTAGGATTAAAATGGCTGTGAGTCAGTCAGACAGGTATGGGAAGAGACACGGGTGTCAGTGGGAAGAAAAGCAAGAAATATTTGCACATGAGTCACAGAAAAACCATCTACATAGTCTTGGGAAGAAATTAGGAGGTCCACATAGTGGGTCGAGGGAGAGAAAAGAAGAGGACCCAAGTCTGAACCTTGGGGAACAGCACTGTTGAAGACTGAGCCTTGCCAGGAAACCTGGTTTGTGTAGTCATTGAGGTTGTAGGATTTACAGGTGTGAGCAGTGCCAGAAATGTCTGCATTACACATCGTAATGCGAAAGTAAAATGATCCACAGCGTCAAAGGCGACAGAGACATTAAAAAGGATTGAGGTGGGGGAGGGGGGAGGCCACAGCACCCGAGAGAAGGGAGACACTAAGAGAGGAGAGTGGTTTCTGTAGAATGTGCTGAGTGAAAGCCAGGCTGGACAGTGTCGAGCAGCGAGTGCTACAAGATTAAAGTCTACAGCTGAGGTACAGAACCGGCTCACAGGTTTGAGAGAGAAAGTGGTGTAATGCAGGTTGGTTTAAAAACAGAGGGAAAGTAGTGCAAGAGCAGAGAGCGGTTAAGCTGTTTCGTAATGTACGAAAGGCAATCAGGGGCAGCAGCCTGGAAGGGGTGAGAGGTTAATTCTATAGAAAAAGAAAAAAAGATTCTTTTGTACATTGTGACAAAAATATGACAGAATCTGTTCCAAGCTCATTGTCCTACATGTGTATCATGTGTATCTCTCAGGTATTAATTGCAGTCGTAAAGTAGTTAACTTGCAATACTTAAAGTAGTAAACTTGCAGGGACGGTTCTTTGGTAGCCATGCAGGCAGACACTAACACAAGAAGTTTGTCTATGGGAAAGCTTAACAATTTCTTGTTAAAAGCATCTGTGTCTCAGAGGCAATTAAATCTGATTGTAATCCAGACAGTAGTAAAGGTACAGTCACTTTCAGGTCATGGGAGGTCAGATGTTCTGCTGTTGAGCTTTTTTAAGTGCTGAATGTAGCTGGAGTAGCTGCACCTGGCTCTCATCACAGACACTGGGATTGTGCTGCTCTATGATTCTCTTCCCTTTAGCTTCGCATTTCATCACTGTTGTCTGGGGAGAGATGCAGAGAGGGCTTCAGTCCTTTGTGCAAGTCTTCCTAATCCTTTAGGACTACTTAAAATGCAAATGAAAAATTAATGATGAAAATGTTTCCCTGCACTATTTTATTAAAAGGGAGGTCTCAATAGAGGAGCTGAGAGTGTAGTTAATGCTCAGACTTGGTCAGGTCTCGTGGGGAGATGCATTTCGTGTTTTGCTAGCTGACAGGTCTATTATATTTTAAAAACAGAACCACTTTCCATAAGCAGTCAAACACAAACTAGACATGCTGGAAATGCATTTGTTATTCTATCCTTTTCCAAGATTTCACACACAACAAGATTTCTTCCTTTTGGTGATTAATGGTTTCTCACAGGACAATAAAGCATACATTAGTATTAACTAGAAGTTAGTAAGCTAAAGGATGTAAAATATTGTATTTCATTCTGCTTGTTGTGCTTTATTATAAGACTACGTTTTCAAAAATATAATTTTTTGTCTAGTTATTTGTAACTGTCATTGTAGGTTGTACATCGGATTACTTTTCTGTTATAAGATGTGGGGTAAAAAATAGGGGTTCACAGGGGGATACAAAATCTGTTAAATCTGAGCCAGTAACATTTCATAAGAACAAAATCAAAAAGAAAGACTAAAAATAGATCAGGAGGGCTGTCGGATGGTTTAGCCTAGCCCAGGGTTCTCAAGTATAGTTCCTAGAGGTGTCTTCTGTTTTTTTGTTCCAGGTAAACTCTTATATAGCTGACCTAATTATTTAATATGCTCCACACTTAGAATAGTACCCGAGTGTTTTATAGGTAACGTTCTCTGTCATGTTGCAATTGTTTTGAATAGTCAACTGTAAAAGACCTCATAAAAAACTATATATGGTTAACTGGAAACATAATTAGATTAACTGTTTAATTGACTGTTTTAGTTAAAAAAAACAGTTACATTTGACCTCCCATGCTTTAGTCTTTAAAATGTTTCATATAAACCCAATGTGGCAGGCATTTACTGCAGGAGCTGTGCCTGTGGTACTGTATATACAGTGTGTGAAAGAATACTCTAGAGTTGTGCCTTGAAATCAGGTTGTTCTGACTGAAGTTTGCTCACCTTTTACTTAACATCTGTTTGGGTTTTTCTTTCGAACGTTTTGTACTTTCTGTCCTCCAGTGAGGGGGATCACGTGAAGGTACGTTTGCATGTTTCACAATTACGGGAGCTGCGCATCTCCAGACCCGCTTTGTGAGCTTGCAATGCTATGAGAACATTCCGCATGTCTTTAAATTGGCTCGGGGCTCAGAAGCCTAATACTTTCTAACAGCTGCTGTAACTCGAAAGTGAGTGCATCTCCAGCATTTGTAAGTAGATGCCAATCCCTTTCCTGTAGGCCACCAGCGGGGCAAATTAGGTCGTTCTTTAAAAAGATAACCATGCCCATGGTTAAGACTGTTCTTCACCTGTCACTTTGCGTTCAGCAGATTGCTTGTCCGTGGAACGAGATTGATGTTTCTGTAGCTGGGTTTGAAGCTCCGTTCACTCTATGCTACCACAGATGGACGGTCCTTGCTGGTGTCCCCGTGTTTCGGTGACCAGTCAGAGCACTACCTGGAGCGGGACGTCCTGGAGTCTCGGGTCAGAGAGGTGGAGGAGGAGAACCGCCAACTGCGCCTGCAGCTTGGCCAGTCGCAGGGCCCCAGCCAGGATGGGAACTATGGCAACCAGCAGTGGGTGGCATCTGCCGACACAGGAGCAGAGGACGGGGAGAACACCGCAGAGGACAAGGGGAACCACACTGACTGCGTCAGACCACCCATGGTGGAAAAGTGCGAGGTACGTCAACTGACATGGTGTAATAATAATTCCTTACACTTATGTAGCGCTTTTCTGGACACTCCACTCAAAGCGCTTTACAGGTAATGAGGATCTCCTCCACCACCACCAATGTGCAGCATCCACCTGCATGATGAGATGGCAGCCATAGTGTGCCAGTACACTTATCACACACCAGCTATCAGTGGGGAGGAGAGCAGAGTGATGAAGCCAATACATAGATGGGGATTATTAGGAGGCCATCATTGGAAAGGGCCAATGAGAGATTTGGCCAGGATGCCAGGGTGGTACCCCTACTCTTTTCGAGAAACACCCTTGTATTTTTAATGACCACAGAGAGTCAGGACCTTAGTTTTATGTCTCATCTGAAGGACGGCGCCTTTTTTACAGTATAGTGTCCCCATCACTATACTGGGGCATTAGGGCACATACAAACTGCAGGGTGAGCACCCTCTGCTGGCCCTACTGCCTCCTCTTTCAGCAGCAACCTTAGTTCTTCCCAGGTCTCCCATCCAGCTACTGACCAGGCTCACTCCTGCTAAGCTTAAAGTGGGATGCCAGTTCTGAGTTCCAGGGTGATATGGCTGTTGGCTCTACAACCTTAAAAATATTAGAAGCATTTTTGCATCTGTTTTTATAAGCATACATTACATGTAATTATTGCTTATTTTCGTGTCTACCAGCATATACAATTGCAGGCTTAAATAGTGGAACCTTGCATTTGAAACAGCTTATTCGCTGCTTTATCTCATGCTATGTGTAATTGTTCGTGAACACACTGAATTCCTTTTTTGATGGAGCCCTTTATATGAGTCAGACAGTTATTCATTCTACCTAGTGGTAATTAAGTTGCTGGAGTGCAGTGGTTTTTGGTCTGGCCTAATTCTTAATCATTGCCTAATTTGTTTCAATTTGCTATCCAAGGTCTTTTTAAAATTTGCTTTCAGCTCTTAAAAAAAAGTTGAATGAGTTTTATAACTGGTTTGACCCCTCTGCTAATTGATGAGTTTGAGGACTGCCCTCATTCAGGTGTGTGACATTAACAATAACAATAACAGACTGGATGTAAGCAGAAGAAAAACACAGCCTCACTGTTTGGCAGTTCTAGTACAGTATAATATCTGACTGTGTTTATTCTGTTGATCGTCTATTAAGAGCTGTTCAGTCAGAAATAAAGGAGAATAAATACCAAGCTGAGGAGTAACTACAGACAGGTCTGTACGCCAAAGATGTAACTAGGGTATTTTTTTAAACCAAGGACTGAGTTGAGAAAAAACTCTAAACCAGCAAACAGATCAGCTACAGGCCTCAATTACTGCTGGTGATTAAAGGCCCACTTGGAAAAAAACTCCAGCAGACAGTGTGGTAAACCAGGACCAGGATACTGTTGTAATGGATTAACTAATTTATATGTGTAACTGTACAGTGCTAGAATAAGGCATTCACCTCAAACGCAAAAATGTCTATTAAATGGAGAAATTGTTGATTGGGGAATGCAGTGAATGGACCAGCAGGCTGGTTCTTAGATGCCAGGGATTAAGAGAACATGTGATGGTTGCTTTTCCGTCTGCCTCTCTTTACCTACATTTCCTCTGAACACTTTCTCTATCCCCTTGATGCAGTCTCTCTTTATATGTTTTGCTAGATATCCTGTGCTCACTCCCTCTCCACTCCCCAAAGAGAAGTGCTTCTTGCGTAACACACACTTTGGCTCTTGGCTTCCTTGGGGTTGATTTCTGGGAATTTTAATATGATTGGACGTCAAAATCAGTGAGGGAGACAAGATTTACACTCTTAGAAAACCTGACTGAAAACTTAATAATTCATTTCTCAATCAAATATAAATGTCCAGCTACACATTCATTTTTTGTTACATGTCTCTGGCTATTTTCTGCAAGGTCCTCTTAAAGGCTACTTAATAATAACGTTTAAAGAACGTTTTCATCATAGTCTTTAGTCCTAGTTTCATATTAATGTTTGTCTGTTAGTGTACCCAGTAAATGCTGCCTTTTTGCTGTGCAAGGTCATTTCCTACAGTATGTAATGACGTATCCGTATTTAGACCTTGACTCTGTCAAGTAAACTAATTACCGATGCTGATCTTTCAGGAAACAACCTGGAGAAGGTTTTGTCACCGTTCTTCTTTTTTTAATGCTTTCAACTTCACATATTAGCGTTAGTTTTTTTTTTTGCCTTTTCCATTTCTATACCTATACAGCTATTATAAAAAACTAGATTTTATTATTTGGCCAAGAGCATTACTCATCACTCAGCACGAAAGTAAATGTGAATTATGTTTCTTTGGGTGTCAGCTTTCTTTATTATGAGAATACTTTCTTGAGTAATCACTTGTTGGTTTCTTACTGCTCGTTTGAGTTTCATCTCTGAATTCCTTGAGTTCCTTCGAGTTCCATCTAGTGGAAGTAAAAAGCAATGTATTAAACAGGAGCTTATTTCATTATAGCTGTTAAACAGTCAGAGAAGTTTAATTATGATTAATGTATAATTTTCCATAGTAGAAATAAGTACAGTCTAGTGATAGTATGCAAATGATGTGATACATTATAATTGAAGTCTTCGTTTTGATAACAATTAGTATTTCTACTCAATTAAAAATGTTTAAAACACTCAATGTTTATTCTCTTTGTAATTTTTTCTTATCAAATGAGGTTTTGTGGAACATCTGTTCCCCTAGACATTAAGATTAATAAGTAGCTTTTACATTTCATTTGGGAACAAAAGCCATTTAGAAGAATACCAGTATATGATTATTAGAGAGAGAGAGAGTTGTTGGTATTACTGGAATTATAATATTAGGTTTGTTGTGGTTTAGTAATTATTGCTTTGTTGTGATTTAAATCTTATGCAAATGATACAAACCAATGCATTCAAATTGGTTCCTACTTTGCAAATTTGGTCACATCTGGTGTCCAAAGCTCAAGGTTTAGCTCTTGGTTCAATTCTCTTCTCTGTGTCAAGATTAGGTTAAATTCTTCATATGTACAGCATGTCATCATGCCAAAACCTGACATTAATCTAGGACTCTCTGCCTTGTAACAAATTATATCTTAAATTATTTCTCTGCATGAAGAAATATCTATATTTGTTCTATAACATGGTGACTGATATTGTCCACAATATTCTAAATTAAGCCTTTTGAGTGCAAAATCTACAATTCTAACTGTATGACCTCACATGTTTTTGCTTTTTAATTGCTTCCCTACAATGTCTGGAGTAATTAAATGATGTGTTAGAAGTAGCCTCTTCTAGCTCAGTGTTTCCCATGTTAGTTTGTTTTTGCTACCCACATGCAACACTGTTTATCTGCCTTCTTTATAAATCATCTGCCAGTTGTGCACTCAGTCTTGAATTGTAGCTAAAGCTTTCTAAATTTCATTTGTTGCTCTTGCAGTGTTTTTGGTTTTTAATTCTTCTAATTTGGTAAAGAGAGGTGACAAGCTTGACTGATTTACTAACTATACTAGAATCTAAATTATTGATATGAACTGGCAAGAGCAGTGATCCTAGTATAGATCCCTGGGGTACCCCACTATTCACATCAACTCAACTCAATATGTTCCATGTAGTCACAAGAAATCATAGTTGTTTTTATATTCTGCATGTGCCCAGTGCTTGACTGGACAAGAGTCAGTCCTTATCAGTACCTAACTTCTATATAAAATGTCTGCTGTAGTCTGAAAAACATGATTTGAAACAGCACACATTTTTTAAATAATCTTAATTTTCAGTTTACCTTTTTCCCACAACCAAATCACTTAGGAGCACATTTCTGGTATCATCCAATGACACGTTTTCTCCTCTCGTCTTTTGTTTTTCAGCTTATCCACGTTGCTTGCGTGTGTGCTGGTCACAACGCCAGCCGTGATGTGGTTACCCTGGTGAAGTCCATTCTATTTCACAGGTAAGAGAGTCCATTTGTGCAGCTGACAGACTAAAGAGATGAATGCCCAGATATAGACTGGTCCAAGTATCCAAGGAGTACACTGAGCTAGGTCACCTACTTCTGTCTCCAACACCTTCCCTGACAACATGCATACACCCTTCCTAAAATGTCCTTTTTGTTCCCAGTAATCTGTAGAAGGCAGTAGGAAGCACTCATGGTGAGTGAAATTACTCCAGGAATCCTGACTCACATCAGGTCAGCGTGTCATTTATATTCATAGTGCTCTGTGGATACTTAGGCATTGTGCTCAGAGTGAATGGCAGGGTATCAGAGCTTGCTGACTAAGCCAAAAGAGCTTGGAGGTGGGGACAGCTGACTGGCAGAATGAATCTTCTGTGGCAACTTTCCAAATAAACCTCTAGAGAAAGTGTATCGATCTTTGTCTGTCTGTCTCTCTATTCACATTAAATTGAAAGTTAAAAATGCTTGAACCTATGGATAAAATTGAAATGCCAACATCAAAGAAAAATTAAGTAATTTTTACAGTTTAATTATTAGTTTTTCAAAAACGTTTAATTCAAGAGATGTATGTTTTCATCTGTGTGTTCTGAAAGAAGTATAATCACATTTGAGCAATTATTGAAAAGGTGTAAATCCCCTTACATCCTTGCCTAGCTTATGCATTCTGACCTTGCTGCCTTCCTCCACCACAGGAAAAACCCACTCCATTTCCATTTCATCACCGATGCAGTGGCTCATCAGATTCTGAGCTCCTTGTTTCAGTCGTGGATGGTGCCTTCGGTACAGGTCAGCTTCTACGATGCAGATGAATTGAAGGTAAAGTTTTCAATTGTTAGATTCTCTTTAGAATGTCTGGTGAGCTCATTCACCAGGATCTATACTGATGTACAAGAGAAACATAATACTGAGGTCTAATGGACATAATCACTTACTTTAAATATAGATAGTAAATAAAAAACTTCAAATCTGAACAATAATAGAGACACATGACACACTGTCACATCATGCCAAAATTAGTATTGGGTGCAGCTCAGAGCATTAACACAATCCTGCAAGTGTGAAACAGAGTGAAACAGACCCAATCAGCCTTGTAAAGTTTTTCTGTGCAGCCAGCTGGCAAAGCCAAAGCTAAAGATTGACCAGGTAACAGATGTCTTGGCAGTACTGGTAAAAGGCATATTGTTGGACTCATGCCAAAGAAGACACTGGCCATGGTGAGACCTTTTTTCAGAGGCTGTGCCATTGGCCTTGTGGAACACTTCCAGACCTACCTGCAGTAACAGAAAAGGTGTCGACCCAATGACCCCTTCATCAATTTATTGCTGAGAGATAAAGTGCCTTCCTACCTTCTTCACCCCACCAGTTGATTTGACCACCATAACATTTGGCATAACACTCACCTTGAAATTTCCATATACTTGATGTTGACTTATGTCGTTATCTCCAGGACAAAATGACATTCATTGGTGAGTTAAACACTGTCATCACATTCCCTCTACCACCTCAGATGTTCTCTGGCCTACAGAGGATGACCATCTGGTCTCTTAGCTAATAACAATTCTCCTGGACTGCTCATGCAGGTAATGAGCAAATCATTCTACATAGCCCACGTTATATCTTAATGGAATGTCTTGTGTTGTGACCTTCCTGGTTTGGTGTGTTGACTCTTGCACTCCAGGATGAGAAGGTTTCTCTGAACCCATCTATTAGTTGTTGAAGTATCTTTCAGCAATCTTGCATAACTTTAACCTGATTGGCAATATTTATGTAAATTCTCAATCAACTCATATGGGCAATTTTATCCCAACACATGCACAAAAAAATGAGAATCTGGGCTATTTATGACATTTTAAGGAGTTGAGCTCAATATTTTGATTTTGATATACCAAGGAACAATATAACTGAACTAATCAACAAACCTACCTGATTATTTCTTAAAATATAAGTAACATTCACAAGTGAATAGCTGATGGAAATATCAAAGCTGTTGTGTTTTTGTTGTGCATCAGTATATCAAAGAAGCAATTACTTGCTGCCTTAGACACACACCACAATTCAGTAATTATTAATTCAATAATGAATAAAAATGAAAGACCAAATCACTTCTGTTTTTTCCCTGCTCCTCTGAAAAGCCTTTGTGTCACAAGTGTCACTTGTTGAAAAGTGTTATTGTTATGAAGGACAGTCTGAAAATTCAAGTTTGTTTTTGTGGAACAAATTTGTTGTGTTTTCTGGAGAGCATCTCCAGCATATCCAGCTGGAATACAAATTGTAGATGTTAATTGTTTTGCTTTACAATTTAAAAACAAAACAAAACTTCACTTTGTTTTTATCATAATTATAGTGCAGCCCTTCTTTCAGAGTAGCACAGAATCTTTTATATTTGTTCATTATAAATATAATATTTATTTTGTAATAAATATTTTAGACCTTCTAAAGTTTATATTTAACCTAGAAGCCTGTGAATTGAGTTTTTCTTGAAAAACAATGAGTTATATATTGAGAAGAATTACAAATACATAAAAAAGCTGTTGGTTATATACTGACTTGTGTTTTTAATGCCTTACGGTAGTGTCACACTAGACTTCAGGGTTAAAAGGGTTTTTATTTCTCACTTGTTCTGCCAGTTCTGAAAAAGAAAAAAAGTATTAGAATTAATCCCTTTGGCTCCTGTTTTGTTTTGCAGTCAGAAGTAGCTTGGATTCCTAACAAGCACTACTCAGGAATATACGGTCTGATGAAACTGACTTTGACCAAAGCGCTCCCCTCTGACCTCACCAAGGTCATCGTCTTGGATACTGACATCACCTTTGCCACCGATATCGCAGAGTTGTGGGCTATCTTTAGGAAATTCACAGGTACTCACGTCTCATATGCACTTACCCCATTCTATTACAGGGGTGCTCATCAGTTTGTAGATGGAGATGATTGGAGGATGGCTGCCATACTGCTAACGTCATTGTGATTTCAGATAAACAGGCTATTGGCCTGGTAGAAAACCAGAGTGACTGGTACCTGGGAAACCTTTGGAAGAATCATAAACCTTGGCCAGCACTGGGACGAGGCTTCAACACAGGTCAGCACATAATCCACGCGTCATCAGACAATTCAGATCTACAAAAAGGGCTTAATCAATGTCATGACACGAATCAGTCAGACTGCTGCACAGTAAGTCAAAGTTAGTAATAATGGGGAAGAGTTGTGGATCTAATCCCTGTTTGCCCTGTGGTAAGTCAGAGAAGGGTTGAATTTGAATTGGAGGGCACCAGCAATAGAGAGACATTGCCCACATTGCTGGCAGGCTAAGCAATTTCGTTTTTGTCTTTCTTTTTATTTCAGTAGCAGTGAATTTAGGACCTGTAACTGGGTAGATCTTTGTTAGCCAGCCTGCTATTCCCAATCGAACTTTGCATTGCTCAGAGGTAGGCCTGTGTTTCTCTTCTGCACCTCAGGTGTCATCCTCCTGCTGTTGGAGAGGCTGCGCAGGATAGGCTGGGAGCAGATGTGGAGGCTGACGGCCGAGCGGGAACTGATGAGCATGCTCTCTACCTCGCTGGCAGATCAGGTCAATGACACACCCTTCACAGCTAATTGATTTTTGCAGTAGTTAAAGTTTACAACGCTGGAATTCACATACTCCAAAGGTTCTCCTTGATGTTCGACTAAAACATGGTCGTGCATGAATAATTGGTTTGGTCTGGATTACCAAATTGCGGATTGATGGGGCTGGACTGGTATTGGGACAGAGGGTAAGAAGAACCAAGAGGAGGAGACACAGAGAGGGAGGGCCCTCAGCAGAAAGAAGCTTACAGTTTGCCGATCTCTTGAAATCTTGAAGCCTTTTTCAGTAACTGCAATGTTGTTTAAAGAAAACCAAACCTTAGGCACCTTCATTTGTAAAGTGATAAAGTACATCTAAAATATACTTAAGCCAATTCGTCATGTGCATTGTGACTAATTGTTCTGAAAACCTCTTCATCAAATGTGCATTTCACACAAAACGGTTTTGTCCAGTTCAATGATTGCTGTATAGTACAGAAAGAGCCCATATATAAGGTGCTTTTTATTATACTTTGTTTTTTTTAAAAAAAAAAGGCGAAGAAAATGTAAATGTTTCAAGCTCTAGACAGAAGCTGTTTTCGGATTTCTTAAATTAGCATCCTGAAATATTTATGTGATGCCTTACAACTTCCAATGTTTCCTAATTAGGAAAAAGGCAGGAGCAAGCTTGTGGCTCCTGTTTTATGCATCACAAGTAAGTGTTGTCACACATATGCATAACATGTGTTCCCTGTATTATCTGCAGGACATTTTCAATGCTGTTATAAAGCAGAACCCAGTCCTTATTCACCAGCTTCCTTGTTTCTGGAACGTGCAACTGTCGGATCACACACGCTCTGAGCAGTGTTACACTGAGGTGTCTGACCTCAAGGTGAGCAATTAAGGGTCCCAGTGTTCGATGTTTGGTTCAAATGTCCCAGAGGAATATCTCTAATTTGTCTTGGAAATTTTTGTTATTAAGACAGTAGAGTTGTGCAAAAACATCCATAGCTTAGAAAAAAAACATTGTCCATTCATTAAGCACTCGTTCAACATCTCCATCTTATTTTAGGTCATTTGTTTTTCAAATCTATATGTTTTTTCCCCCAGATCTTGTTTGAGCTCATACATTATTAAATAACCCCTTCATTAAACAGCATCGCTACGTGAGAAAACTGAGAAATGTGAGTGCAATGACTGTGCAATGTGGGTCTTGAAAATCAACAGATCTGTACTTAGCGTAACCAACTTTGTTAATCCTAATTCTGACCACAAGTTAAACACACAGGAAAAAACACCCCAGACATCAATCTGTCTACTTAGGACAGCACAATTTGGCAGGTACATAGGGACTCGCTTTCCTGTAAAGTGTGCAAAATGCCCTGCCGCCGACTGTGATGATTTAATTCTCTTTGTCAGGTCATCCACTGGAATTCTCCTAAGAAGCTGCGAGTGAAGAACAAGCACGTGGAGTTCTTCCGCAACCTGTACCTGACCTTCCTGGAGTATGACGGCAATCTCTTGCGAAGGGAACTATTTGGCTGCCCAAGTCAGCCGAGCACAGAGAGCATTCGTGTGAGTACCAACCACAGTCTCGAGAGGCTGCATACATGTGTGAAATACATGGTTCTGCGCCTTACTTCTCGTGTACCGTGCTGAAGATAGGCATCGACTCCCAGCTTGTTTCAGGACTCTCCTGTGCTCCAGTTACAGGCAGCTCTGGAGGAGCTGGATGAGGATGACCAGTGTTACGATTTTCGCCGGGAGCGAATCATGGTTCACCGGATTCATCTATACTTCCTGCAGTACGAGTACATGGCCACACAGGATGAGACTGATATCACGCTTGTGGCTCAGCTCTCGATGGACAGGTAGGGGCTGGCTGCCAGCGTATTCACCTGCCTTCAGAGCTTGAGAGAACCAAAGCCTTCCTTTACTGGAAAGTATTCCCGAACAGTGTTTAACATTTCAGTGGAGAAAAGGACAATACAATTAAGAATTAAGAGATTCTATGTTGTATTATGGGCTCAGTCTCTTTCCTCACCATGATCTGTCTTGTGCGACCATTGTTTTTTTTATTTCCCCTCCATGTCTTAGATTACAGATGCTGGAGGCCATCTGCAAGCACTGGGAAGGACCCATCAGCCTTGCTCTGTATATGTCTGATGCGGAGGCCCAGCAGTTCTTGCGTTACGCCCAGGCCTCTGAGGTGCTGAAGAACCGCAAAAATGTCGGATATCACATCGTCTACAAAGAAGGCCAGTTCTACCCCGTCAACCTCCTGAGGAACATCGCTCTCCATCATGCCAACACCCCTTACGTCTTTCTGGCAGACGTTGACTTTTTGCCAATGTACGGGCTCTACGATTACCTCAGGTGAAGTGATTTACATTCTTTGCCAAGCTGGGGTCTGCGTGGCAGTTGTATCATTCTCACTTAGCCAACCCAAACTTTAAAAGTGCAAATTTATCAATAACTAAGCAAGTTAAAGCTGGTAGAATCAGGCATCTAAGAAATGATCAACCTAAAGAACAAACGTCAAAAATAAAAATACATTTTTAGGCATGAAGGTGCATATCAGTGAGCTGTTACATTTTTGTTTAGTGTATACTCGTGTAGCGTAATCTTCAGCAGTTCCCAGGGATCAAGGTTACCAGGACACCTCAATCTGTGTGTTGTATATCAGTGTCCTTGAATTTACTAGGCTGCCCTTAAAACCATGAGTGAGCGATAAGTCTTGCTCCAGCGATTTCATTATCAACCAGTGATAATGGCATTGTTCTGTTCAGTGTTCTCACTGATTTTACAGACAAGGTAGACTTATAATTCCTGTTGAATGACTTTTGTTTTTTCAAAATCTCTGAAGGGGAAAAACCTTTAAAATTCGCCAGCCTTTTTGTTCCCAGAAAGACGGTGTTGCCTTCGCATTTTTTACATACTCTAAATCAACCTTCGTTTGCATTCATTGCTAGAGTGTCTGGGCAGACTTATTTTAATGCAGTTTTGTGGTTAGAAAAGGCAGGATATAGGCGTGACACCGATGCCCTTCTTACAGAAAATCCATCATACAGCTGGACATGGCTCATGTGAAGAAAGCGCTGGTGGTCCCAGCATTTGAAACACTACGGTATCGCCTGTCCTTCCCCAAATCCAAAGCAGAGCTCCTCTCCATGCTGGACATGGGGACACTCTACACGTTCAGGTACGAGCTGGAGATTTCAAATCGCTGTCCATCACCTCCATCTGTCTCACTCCAGAGCACTGTGCCTCCGTACAGCGAATAGGCAGAACGATGACTGAGTCTAAAATTCAAGTGCAGTAATTTCTTTGCACAAGGACAAGTTATCTCTGTCATTACGAATAAACTCTGTAATCTGTCAGATGTTAAAATTCTCAGTCTAATGCATTTTTCTCTTTTGCTGTCAGGCATTATTGTTGTTTGCATTTCGCTCATCTTAAAATGGGAAATATACATTACATTGGTGGTAACTGTCTACTGTAGTGCTGCACAGACACACATCATCAGTTTCAATGCTACAGGTGATGAACACAGTAATTTTGATGTCTGAATTCGAACACCAAGTGAAATGGCAGGACATTCTGTAGAGGTGCACAGAAAACCCCTCTAGTCTAATGCATTTATCTGCAGATATTTAGACATGACTGCCACCTGCTGGACAAAGTTCTCACACTCTAATTGCCCTTCACAGAAAGCTCCAGGAGAATTCAGCGGATATATTAATTGCCCAAATAAACCAACATATTTTAAGGAAACATTAAATATCTTCTTCATGCAGGCATTGTTTATTGTAAATAAACAGTAGTATATATATATTATCTGCTAAAATTGCAGATCATTTTTAAATGCGACTCCAACCCTGTTCAATACTGTACCTTACTTTTTAGTTTAAAGATCCTTACATGCTATTATGTATTCCTTATGACTTTTTGGGAGCTTTAATTTAGTTTTTTTAATGAAGCCATTAGCAATGCATATGCAAGAGTAACATAAACATCAAGGTACATTTAAACATGAAAAACAGCAAAATGCACCCAAATTGAACCCAGAACCAACTAATAGCTAATGTTGCTGTTCACATCATGTTCTTCCTTCTGTTGGGGAATTATGTTGACTAACATTATAACATACATATAATAAAATCATATGCAATGACATGTAATCCCAACAGATTTTGTAAGAATTATGTACAGTAGTTCTGAATGCATCTTACAATACAAAATATCAGGGCCTTTCAATGTTAATGTTCAAGGTCAATCCACAATCAGTACAGAAAGAATGGTCCATCTAAATTACCTGTTAGGTTAAAAAAGTTGATGGAGAACAGGAGATCATCAAGGAGTCTATGTCAAACACACTCACATGCAGAAAATACATTTGTAAATCACAAAAAATATTTCCTGTCAATTCAAAATCAAATCAGGGGCATTTCTGATATGGGATGGCAAAGTCTTCACACAATGTTTTATGAAGAAATCGACATACCAAGGCTATAAGGCTGAATCATTACCCAGGATGGTCTGGCAGAGGCTATAATTCTAGGTCAGATCTTTAATACTGGTGTCCTGAGATTGGTTTTACAAAGACCATCTGTGGTCTCCCTTGGTTATGTATTATATGTTTTATATATGATGGTTATATATGGTTTCATAGCCCTTAGCGACACTTTTTTTTCATCCTCTGCTGTTTTGCCCCGAGCAGCTCACAGCTTTATTCGCAGCTGCGCATTTTAGGTGCTAAATGAAAAAAAAAAAGTAATGCTGGTGTTGTGTCCGCAAGGTACCATGTGTGGACCAAGGGCCATGCCCCTACCAACTACGCCAAGTGGAGAACAGCGACCATGCCCTACAAGGTGGAGTGGGAATCCGATTTTGAGCCTTATGTCGTCGTGAGACGGGACTGCCCTGAGTACGATCAGAGGTTTGTCGGCTTTGGTTGGAACAAAGTGTCCCACATCATGGAGCTCGATGCACAGGTAATAGAAATGGAAGATGTTTGTTCTCATTAACATTTTTACTGTAAGCTTCGTTCTTAGTGGAACCAGCCATAAAACCAAGAGTTACTTTACAAACTGGCTGGGATTTTCATTCTTTTATTGAATAATCATTGTAATAATATAATAAACAATCTCATTATATAATAATAAGAAATGATTATTCTGAATTGTAACCCTAGTAGGCTCAGCTTTAAGGTACTTATGTTCAACTCTTCAAAGAACTGAATCACAGGTGCAGAAAGTTTTGGATTTAGCAAACAGCTGTAAATAAAAAATGCTTCGTATCCTTTGTGTTTCCCTCCAGGAGTATGATCTGGTGGTGCTGCCCAATGCCTTTATGATTCACATGCCTCATGCACCCAGCTTTGATATCTCCAAATTCAGATCGAGCTCCAACTACCGCAACTGCTTGACAACACTGAAGGATGAGTTTCACCAGGACCTCTCCCGCAAGTATGGATCAGCGGCTCTGAAATACCTCACTGCAGAGAGGAACCTGTAAAGCAAACTTCACGAGATGGTCTGCTGGCCTGTCACCTGCCTGACGCTGACATCAGCTGAGGGGACAGCTTAGCTGGTGCAGGTTCAAAACTGCCTCAGAATTATACCGTGTAATCTCTAGGAGTTGGGATGCTACTACTGCCCTTGAAGAAAGATACAGATACAGTAATTATGACAGGCTCAGAAAAATAGAAACTCTGTCCCAGGATGCTTAGTCTAAACCACCACAAAATACAGCTGCAGAGCTGACAGGAAATGGGGGAGTGTCCTTCCACCTTCTCTGCTGCGTCCCAAACTACATTCACAGCACACAAGAGGAACAGACACTACAGAACGGGGACAACCTGGAGTCCGTGACCAAACTTTCCAATGACAGCACACATGTGCCGACAAAAAGGCTGGATTTTTAAAGAGATCCTTAACTTTAAGGAATCTGGGGTGGGGGGGGGGGGGTGGAGAAAAGTTTTTTTTTGACAATCAGGATCTTTTTTTTTCCCCCCAACGAGGGCAAATGAATAAGGCAAGTCCATCCGTCTGGGGGTATTGCTGGGCAGCAAAGATTTCAAGTTTTCTACTGGCACCTAAAAGCAGATGAAAAGCTGTGAAATGAAAAGTGCTAATAGGAAAATGGCTTAAGAGATGTGTGAAGACAGCCAACTCCTGTAAGCATTTTCTTGACCTGCTGTGGATCTGTTATCAACAATTGATGAGTTGCTCTTCTAGAGCAGGATACATAAGAGTAATCACTGGAAAAAAAACCAACATATTTAGCCTTATTATTATTTTTCTTGATATTTAAATTATTTAAGCTATTTTGTTATTAGATGTAAATGATTCATAAAATAATGATGTACACCTTTTTAATTACTGTTAAATAATGATTGCATAACTTTTTTATTCCTCTATTCTGTTCTTTCAAAGAAAATGTAATCAAGGGTTCGTGTTTGTACAGGAAGAGTCCAAAATGGCTTAGAATGCTCTCAGCACCCCTTTCATGTTAAATCTGAGAACAACTGAATTGCTTTGATTTATATTTGACTCATCTGATGCCACCATATTGGAAGGATTCTTTCAATTCACAGGAACTTCTTAAAACCATTTGAATGATTTGCACTATTAGCCATTGAGCCAGTAATGTAATTAAAATATAAAAATACACATAAAATAGTAGAGGTACAGCACAACACATACATTTTAAAATGTAATACAAACCTTTATTCATCAAGTAACTGATGAAGGATTAGCAAATTTACAATCAGAACGAAACGCATTGCTTAGAATGGAATTTGGCATGATGTAGTTACTAAACACTATATTCGTGGGCCAGAAGCTTCGGAGAATTATATTGTATTGTAATAGATACAATATGTATCTATTACTTTAGTTTTTGGTATCCAATTTGACTAAAAGCTCAGATGAAAGCTAACCCTTGCAAAAAAAATTGAGAATTTTCTTTTATTACTACAGCTTTTTATTTTTCATTTCTATTCATTACTGCCTTTAAAACATACAGCACAGCTAGTCGAATTTGTGTTGCTTCCAGATGATAGGCTGCATTCAAAGACACTAACATGTAGGTACCTGTACAGCACCTTTAGGGCTAAATTAAGTCAAGAATTATTGCACTGTGATATCCCCTATAAATCACAGCAATCATAGTTTGATAACAATTTATTAAGTTCAAGCTTTAGTTTACAATTAAATAAGCTGAAATTCCAGATTACATAAGTCACCAAATGGGTACTTACGATGCACGTGGAATCAATCGCTAGCAGCAGAGGTGTTCATATTATTTGCATTACCAAATGCATAGAAAAGAAGAGCATTCATTTCTCCTTTTTCCTTAGAGACAAAATGCATTACAAATGTAGACCTTCATTGCATGAAACTGATTATACCTTGGACCAAAACAACCTTCTGATCCCCTGTCATAAGTGTATTGGTTAGAGCTTATTGGTAGTAGACATCCAATTCTCCCAAAATTGATATTTAGCCTTAAAGCAACTAAAATATCCCTTTCTTAGCAAAAAAGGGAGCTTAATAGCTAAACACATTCATGCCAATTAATTATCCGTAGAGTGGTTTAAGCTGTTGGAATAGATATCAAAGGCTGCTGAAAACTTTGCACTGCATGATTGTTGATTGTCTCCATTTTGTGTATGCAGCCAAGGACCAGATTAATTTTTAAAGTAATATTTTTGATATACTAAAGTTAAAACCACAGTATATGTGTATTGTACCTGCTAGATGCTAAAAGGAAAAACTGTTGCAGTTGCATATCCGTCCATAACACACATACTTTGTTTTCAGAACTATGATGTGTTCCCAAGATACTTTGACATATCCCCAGAGTACCAGTGTTACACCTTTGTGTTTTACCTTGTAAAAGCACCTGATATCTAGTTAACTAAAGAAATATACATAGTAGTTGTCAATTAGCACCTGAGAGGAAAACAAATGTAGGAAAAAGGTTAAGATGCCATGTAAATCGTCAGCCTGTTAATGAAGGAAGGAAAATATAGATACATTGGTGTAACATTATCAACAGAAATGTGCACAAATGTCACGCCTCCCATACAACATGTAAAAGGTCTGCAATATCCTGGGAATCAATTGGTCAGTGGAAGTATGTCCAGGTCTGATGTGGTGAGTTTCTGAGCTCAGTTATATTAGGCAGGGAATTTGTCTTTTAGACAAAAATAAACAGGCTGTTTGAATTTTTACATTTTACGACTCAAAACAGCTGAAATGGAGTTCGCGCCAAGAAAAGGGTATTATGATTGACGTCATTGCCTGGGGTTGCCAGCCGAGCCAGCAGCTGGTCTGGAAGGTTTGTGGGGAGGGTGCGAAAGTGAGTTCCTGGAGAGGGTCCCTCTTGTGTCTAAGTAGAGTGTTTTCTTGGAAGAAGGTGATTGTCCGCCCGACAGTTACTTCCCTCTCTAGGGTTCTGGTCACATGATTTTGCTGATGGATTGCGCCCAGCCCAGACCTAGGGATTACTCTCTAATTCCAGAACTCCGGGATAATCCTGGAGGGTTGGCAACCTGAATAGATCCCCCTCTCTCCACACATGCCATTATCACTGGGGCCATTGTTTTCTAGCCAATGGCAAAGGATCAGTTCTGGTCATGAAGCAGTGTTACTCCTGAAAATACCATCAAAAAAGGAGGATAAAGCACTGGAGGGAGGTAGAAGCGTTAGTCGCTTGTCATGTTGTCTTGGGTGAGGCCAGTAAGATGGTGTATAAATATTACCACCACCTCGTGACTACAGTGTGACTTGTGTACCTCTGGGTTGTCTAATTCTCCTTTCCTGCCAGTGTGCTGAGTTCGGTGATGCGAGTGCCTTTGCTGTATTGTGAAACTGGGTATTGATTGTACTACTGTACTGTGGGAGCCTGAGAAATGGCAGGTTCTCTATTTATTATTGTTGAGTTAAAACAAACTTATTTTTCTATACAGGGGAAAAAAAGTGCTTTAAATAAACTTGCCCTTTCATATAAAGGCGTCTTTTCTTTTTTCATCATAACAATAGCTTTGCTGTGAATACGTCTTCTATTTTTAATGAGCAAAACTGTGTCACTGCTTCTGAATGTGATCTATGATAGTTTCCAACAGAGGATAATAAAAACATAAAAATGCTTCAGTGCTATTAAGATTATAGAGATTTTGGCTGTCACACAAGTTACCCCAAACGTGCAACCAGTCATGTCCTATTGCACATCAGAGGGCACTCAAATGTGCGCTACTGCTGTAGGACATCAGGCATTTGAAATTTCTACATCAGTATCATTGCTTTAGCCCCTGAACTATTTAATGCATGTGTTGGTTTTACAGTCCCCTGATCCTCTTTAGATACGATAGTACAAAGGTTTTAGAATAAAACAATTAAATGGACATTACAAATCTGCAAAATCTTTTTTATTACTTGTTTGATTAGTTTTCAACACAAAAAGATTACTAAAAACAAAAAAAAACACCAACAATGTTCACAAAGTGTATCGTTGTAGCGTAGGTGTTTAAATTTTCACCACTACAGCCTTGATTGTGCCTGCTCAGAAATAATTTCTGGCTAAACAGGTTTCATGCAGTGCACAGGAGTACACATTGCTTTTCTCAGGCTCTGTTACTCTCTGTGCATTCTAATCACATCTGACATTATCAGAAAGCTACTGCTGAAAGTCTCATATCCTGGGATAGAATGAGATTTATTACACTTTTGAAATATCATTTAAGATACAACGATTCTAGCAAGTATGGCATTAGTTTAAATAAGCACTGTTCATTTTGTTGAACACCTTTGTGAAAATAATGCTGCATGACAAAATCTAATTACCTTTTCAAAGTGAAGTTGTTATTTTTATAGATGCTGCATTTCACTATAAAGTATTGCGAGGTGCCGTTAGGAAGAATGAGGTTTCATACTGTAAAACAAACAGTGGAAATTAATTCTTCACCAGGGTAATAAGAAACTTATGTGTTTACCTTGTCTGTGTACAAAGGGGCAGTTTAAATAGCACAGCATTTACAGATTTTTTTTTATTTAGCTGGAGGACCACTGTAATTTTTCTAAGTTCAAGATTTTAACCTAATAATAACTAGAAAAGATACAATAAATATTATTTTAAAACAAGGAATAAGTTAAAGTTGTTTAAAGATATGATCATTAACTTTCATTGATTTCTTGACAAGAAGACCTGACAACTTGTTCATCTCTTAAGGTTTGAAATAACATCTTTAAGTCTGGATAATGTTCTCAAAATATGATCAAAAATATGATTTGTATGGGCTACCAGATTGAATCTCATCAGCTGTGTGCGGTTCTGTTAGAACACAAAAGATTTTAAATATAAGATAGATAAATAATGGGGCATGCTGTTAGGGTTGCATAAGTACAATGAAGTCCTTTTTGTAGTCTTTTCCACTTGATGACATTCAATTTGACGTTATGTAATGCAATTACAGAATTTAAATATTTATCGGTACCCAGTTTAAAAAGCAGTTTAGTTTTTTGGATTGCACAAGCTCAGGAAAAAACATGTATATAAACTGTAACATTTCTATATTAGTGTCACGGTATGGTTTAAATTAAGCGCTTCATTCATTTACACTATGATTCAGATATGGTAGTTGAACTGTACTCGGGGCCTGTCTTTCTTCTGGAGTGAACAGGCTGTCCAGCAGAAACTGCTGTCTCTGTACACCACATTGAGCTTAGCCTGGCAGGGGCAAGGGCCTTGTAGGGCAGGGCCCCCCATTTCTTCTGTGTAAAAACCTGGGGTGCAGGTGCACTAACCTCACAGCGTCGCAGTCTTTGCAAACAGCATTAATATGTTTCTACATGGAGGAGCAACTGTCTGAATCCATGCACACATTGGATTATTTAGTGCATGCTCTAATGAAAGCCCTTTTAAAAAAACAGTTATGCTGACATACTTGCTACTTCATGTCTGATTGCAGCTCAGCCACAGTGTGCAAGGCTCTGTTGAAAGCCTTGTGATGCACAACAATTATAATCAGGGTGTCTGCTGGTCAAGGCTTTGGTTTAGGATAACTTGCTGTGCAGATTACTATCCCTAATTTCCCCCCTAAAAATAGGTGCAATTCACTGAAAAGGAATGTAAACTTAGATTGCGCATGAGCTTTTGGTTTTGTTGCCGTTGTTACACCTGCTACATACAGTAAAGGTAATATGATTATTGATTGGATTATTAGCTCAGTCAACAGGCATAATTGGACCGGCTCCAGTTTAAAAACAGAAAAAAAGTGAATTTGAAAAGTGGTTATATGAATAAAGGCGCTACTATATGTAATACAAGGCATAGCAGCTATTTATGAAACTACAATTCCTAACCGGCGTAGTGTATAATTTAAAAACATTTTGTTCTGTACTGCTGGTTCACTGAGCCCAGAGATGATGGATTCTGTTATTGAAATAACGGTTGAGGTGATAAATGGCTCCAGTGGTAATTCTGCTACATCTGTCACTTCTGAGAGGTATATGATTCGCTGTGTGAGAAATAAATAGAAGCTTCAGTCTACCACATTGCTAGACAATGTCTTTGATTAATTGTTGCACGTCTGATATCACAAATAACTGTAAATTACCAGCAGGAAATATTTCATTTTGAAGCAGCTCTCCCAGCTGCTACACTACAGGTGATTGACAAGCTTGAGTGCTGTGCTGTCAAGACATATTTTGTCCCACTTTTGCCTTGCAGGTAATGTATGAGAAAACTTAACCCATATGATCTTTTTTTTTAACTGCTATCCATTGCATTAAGAGTTCATCTGCTACTGAAAGTTTAAGTAGTTGCAGAAGTGAAGATGAGCCCAATGCCCACTTGTAAATATTTCTTTTCATTGGGTTTAATTTAATAGATAAAATAATATGAATGAGAGATGGGTGCTTCATTTTTTTACAAAAAACTAAACATAGCTGGAGTCAATGTCGTTGGACATGATTAAGGATGTTGTGCATTGCCTGTCTTGTTTGTATTTGAAAGCCCAGGTGTAAAAACGATCGGCTCTCGCCAAGAGATGAGAGAGCGCCGAGTGACTAATTCCACCAACTGCTCGGCAGCACAGCTTGGGAAATCCTGGTTGCCATCAGCTAGGGAGGGGACCATGACCTGGCTTGAACCTGCAATGGCTGGGTGCTGGAGCTCACCCTGAGCTCAGGTGAGTGTCTTAACAGGTTGAACACTTAGGAGGCCCTTATCTACCACCATTTTGAGCAGGTCAGGGAGAGGAAGAAAGGATGCCATCCCATCAACTCCTTCATTTGCCAGTTCCCTCATTTTGGAAAATATTCCTGTCAAGTTCCTTGGACACACGATTCCCATAAGGAAGGTTACAGATGGGTAGAGGCCACTATGTTATCAACTCTGTCAGGCTCCTCTCCTGAAATTATAATCCTTACTTTTGTACTGTGCTTTCAAAGCAAGCATCATAGTATACCACTTCAGTACAACATTTTATCTGATATTATATATAGTATTAATATATCTAATCCTTAATCACAGTTCCTCAGTGGCTGTCTCCCCTGTTTACTAAGGGATCCTGATAATTTGAAAAGACTAGCGTGATACAGGATGTTTTTTCTGGCGTTCTGTCTAAACTGAGTGTGAAAGCACACGTAGATATTCTATTAAACGTACGATTCCAGTTTCACCTGCTGCCATTGTTTTGTTCTTGGAGCAAACTGCTGATGGTAAGCTTTTTATTACCAGAAAATAATGTTTTATTTTTAAAAAATCAACAGCGCAAGTGTGGACTCATCTGAAATTTAACAAATCAATGTACTGAGGTTCCACTAGTACATATGTATAAAGTACTGCAACTCACTTACTTTTAAAATAGAAAAATTAGATTAAACCACGTGGTAATTATCACATCCTGTGTTATGTAAATGTATGCATTTAGATGCTCTCCTGTGAATGTTTTAAACAGTTTAACTGCTTCTGAAATATCTTTTCAGGTATGCTAAAAATAGCCTAAAAGGTGCTTGCTGTTTCACTGTACAAACCACAGGGAAAGGATTGAAATAATTAAATGGCAGAAGGCTTTGAAATGTAGTTTTCCTTTCGTCTGGGAGATTTGCCAGAGACAGATAAATTATGACTTGGTTCATCCTCACCAGATCCCACCATTTGGCTTTCTGACCCCCCCCCCCAGAATTCGCACACAAACACAGGGGGGAAAAAAAGCTTATCCAAGTATATATTTTAGGTGTTGTTTCGGCAATAAAACACACTGGGTATAAAACATTTCAACATTCTAGAAAATTCCAGGTAGAAGCCGGTAGGGCACCGAGTCCGTGTACCGCTTCCAGTCCTTGCCGTACTTGCTGGAGCAGCGGTGCTCGTCCCGGATGCAGCGGTGGACCAGCAGGATCGTCATGTAGATGATGTAGAAGTAAGGCAGGAGGTGGCCGAACCCGCAGGCCAAGCAGTAGGACAGGGAGCCCGTGAGATCGCCCGTGTAGTTGAAATGCCGAGCCACCCCCCAGAAGCCCGAAATCATCAGCTTGCTCTGGTGCCTGCTGCCGTCCACGGAGTTGTAGGAGCACGGGATGTAGGCCGGCCTCTTGCCCCAGATTATACAGTTGCCGTCCGTGCGGCGGAACAAGTCTTTCTGGTGGTTCGTCATCCTGAAGACGTAGTAACCCACCAGGCCCAAGAAGAGCACGCCCACGGAGTTTGCAGTCGACAGCTGGACTGGATGGTACACCAAGTACAGACCCTGAGGATGAGACAAAGGTCAGTCAAATGAACATGTAAAGCTTTTGTGAACAGGAAAAGCTTATATGGACCTTGCAGTCCCATCTATTTCCATCCTCCTTTTAGCATTTTTAATTTGCCCTTTACCTAATCAGGCAGGAACAGATGCAATTCTGTTTTACATACAAACCTCCTCTCTTTCTTATTTCCCCCACAATGAACTGGATGCTGTGAATACATGGGGAATTGGAACAAACCTGGAGTGTATACAGGAACGGCAGCCACACACAATCTCCCCATCCGAGGTACCAGCCAAAATGGTCATGGCAAATATCGATGGTCTTCAGGTACCAAGCTTCATTCCAGAAAAAATCCAGGACATAGATCGCCTGAAATGCCAACAAAACTCAAGAATGGACCTCTTTTAAATTTGTCACCAAACTTTCAAATGATAAATGTAATGCACATTTAAAAACTGTGCCGTGGCTTTGCAAGTAGCAAGTGTACATGTCTGACATCACACGAGAGTACTACTGATAGCTTAAGGAGGCATGGGAACTTATATTGTATCACCTTTGAGTTGTCTGAAGTGCAACATACTGTAAGTAACCACCCCAGCCATATGTGTGATAACTATAAGTTCCTGAAACACAGCACTGTAATAAAACCTAAAGGTAGTGTCTTTTTTTCCAATTTCAATTTTTTTTCCCAATTTCTACCATTACTTTGCCCAGATCAGCAGAGTTAGGCCCTGTCCAAGACTATTGTTTCATCTCAAGATCTTACTAAATCGAGAGTTACCAAGACACTAACGGAAGGAATGTCTTTTAAATAAACCATTAAACTTAAAAAGTGCTACAGTATCAGAATGGTGTTGTATTTGAAATGCAAGAGTTTTACAAAACTGTTGGTCTGATATAGCATAGCACAACGCTCAGTTTTAAATACAGATCCTTCTTACCTGGAGAACATTGACCAAGATCATCGAGTTCGTCACCTGTCCGTAGAGCTCCTGCTGTTTGGCAGCATAAGAGAGGTTGATGAGGGTCCAGGCTATGATTCCTGGGCGCCCATTGAAGAAGAGTTTGAAATCGAACCACTTCCCAATCCGGGGATTGAACTCTATTCCCATCATGTAGTCATAGAAGAAATTGCCAGTGAATTTGCTGCAACATAAAAATGAGATTAGTGAGTGTAATGAACACTATTACCACAAAGAATACTCATTATGTTCAGAACATTATAGTGAGGTTAACAACTATGGTTTTAGTTGCAAATTTTTACAGCTTGGTAAAAAGGAGCTTTTGTCATCCACCTTGAGGCCAATAATTTACACAAACAGCTATATTCAAAAATTCCAATTATGCAGGGTAAATCTGCAACACAGAGAACCACAAATACGTAGAGGAGTTTAGGAATACATACCAGTCTTTTTTATTGGTGGGGAAGAGGTATGCCTTTACAAATGCAAATGTGGACACCGCATAACCCAGAATATTGGTGCACCAAAGCAAAGGAATCCAGTTATCAAAAATGATAGTAGGAGAAAACCACTTGAAGTAATAAGCATTTGCAAACCACAGTATGTGAGTTATAATCCAGGACTGCAGTCCGTTGATCTCATATTTATTTACAATGCCTGCATGGAAAAACAAAATACAGAACAGGTTGTTTAAAAATACAATACTTTTTTTTGACTGGCAATAACATCTGTATATTCTCACTTTTTGGTTGCTGAAGGGAACACATGGAGAAACAAAATAAAATCCCTGTTCTTTGACTACTCTCACTCAAGTTGTACGTTTTTGAGAACATCTTAAACATTTGTGTATATTATGTGGTCAGGGATAACATATAGTACAACCCAAATTAATGTAAGCATGACATATAATTGCTTTCTACACTGAACCATGGAACTAGTTTCTATATGTTGCCCCTACCCAGAGGTAATTATTTTAATTGATGAAATATACAGTTGAACAGATCCTGCTACTTCTATTATTAGAATATTATCATTCGCCTGCAGACAAGAAATTAACTACATATGTTTTATGTCATACTTTTAAGGTAAGATTTAGAAGACTTTTACTATACAACAACAATAACCCACTGTTCATAAGATGAACATGAATGAACTACACACTTTGCAAAGTGTTCACTAAGTTATTCAATCTGTTGATTCACAATATTAAATTTTGCACTGCAAAAGGTGGACATGTGCTATGCTACAGCTTGCCTTGGTTCTCTAAATAATCGTGCTTGAACATGACGGCTCTGTGTTCTGTGTGCGTTTCCACCCGAACAGAAACTGTACCTGCTGGTGTGTGTGCGCCATCTTGGACTCCGCCCACATATCCTGGCAGGAACTTGTGACACACATCGGGGACACACATGTAGAGCACAATCTGAAACAGACACAGGCGTGTTCTGTTAGCAAAGAGCAGTTACTTCCATTTGTAACACCATAAACACAGACCTCTAACAGGTGTGTACATCAACAGTGACTGCAATACTTATATACAGCGAGAAATCACACTGTACTGTAATACAATGACAATATTGTGAAGGACTTGTAGGCATTTTCCCTCATTATAATATATAATAAATCCCGCAGTATATTTTCTACTCAAATGCATATAAAGCAAAACTGTATTTAAAAGAGTGCACCTTATCCCTCATATAGTAAACAGGGGACCAATCACCATGCGACAAAACTAAAAATTAAACAACACTAAAAGAAAACAAATCAATTCCTGTGAGCATTTAGGGAACTACTTTACTGTGTAGGCTACTGTTTTGCTGACCTGGAAAGAAACCCAGATGGCGTAGATCTTTGCAGCTGACCATCTGAAGGAAGGAGCTCGGTTCCAGATATCAATGAGGGTGGACTTCCCACTGTACAAATCCAGAACCGGTGCCGTCACAGAGCACTGGTACTGGTCACAGGCCATTACAAAATAAAACACAATGAAGGGGGCCAAACACAGCAACAGAATGACGCTGACCAAGGAAAACCAGTCCACTTCCCTGTAGAAGACAAGGCAGAGCAAAATAAAACAGAAATCCCATTATTCGAAGCATCAGACATGGCTTGTGGTTTTCCTATTATTGCCATTGCAGACAGAATAATGGCACCTGTTCATTTACAAACAGGCATGACAGGTTTCATGATGATTTCATGGTTTTATGTGCTACTAGTCGAACAAACATTTGTGGCAGTTAATACTATAGTTATAAAAAATGGTTACTTATGGAGATTCTGAATCTAGAGTTACAGATGTAAAATGCTATCCAACATTGTTCTACTAAAACAAAATTGCAAATAATTTTCTTAGACGCACATAACTGTGTTTATCATTGAAAAGCACGCAAGGGTGAGTGGTGTTCTTAGACAGCAGTAGTTGTACACACATCTGTCACTGAATGACAGTACAGGTGCATGCAAACTTCATTCAGATGAATGGAAAAGGATAAATTATTTTCTTTGCAATAACAAAAACGTAAGCCGTTGTGCCATAAAAGGCTTAAGACAGAATGAAGGCTCTTACCCAAAAAAACATTCAACAACTAGAGTTGAAATCTTTACACCTGAACAAACTTTAAATTATTCATTGACTGTTTTCGGGAATGCCTTGAGACACAAGACCTCTCCCCCCATTACTGTCAATCCGTTTGCAAGTGAAATGCTATTGCAAATAAAGTGCACTTTAGGAAAAACTGCATTACTGTGCAATACTTTGCAAATGGCAGTCCTTAACAGGAACTGCAATCTCCTCTGAAGACTGGTAGTGTCGCAGCACTGCACTCAGCAGAAATGGAAATGAAGAATATTTAAAAAAAGGGCACATAAATGACAAAATAGATCAATGACATCCATTGGAAAAAGGTTTATGTTGCACCTGTTTACTTACCATGCTCTGCCCCATTGTCCTAGTTTTCCTTTTTCACTGGAACTCACTCCATTTGCAGAACTCTTATTCCGTTTTTTAGTGGTTGTTGACAGCTGAGGGGTAGCCATGACCCCCTGAAAGAACCCAGAGGAGGACTTTTTAAGTGCCAGAGGAAAATACAACATGTAAAATAGCAATTTATGTGTGCAGCAAAACTCTTGGAAGAATCACAATGAAACAGTTTTGCATACTTCATGTTTTCTCGCTACTAAATTACATTACTACCCTTGCAAATAACAAGCACAGGTAACATCACAAGCACTCACGTCAGGAGAGTTTAAATTCTTTTGTAATTAAAATGTAATATAACATGCAAAAAGGAAAAAATCCCAGTCCGATACCTCACCTGATGCACAGCTTATTTTTAGTGTGGTCACACACACAAAAAAAACATTCAATTTATATGCATTGGGTCAGGACCTGACATGCTGTATTTATATAAAAGAGTCAATAAATAAAAACATTTATCTAAAAAATCCAGTCACTTTCCCTGGAAGTTTGTATTTTACTTTGTCTTCTTTTATAGTACAGCTTGAAGTTAGATATACTTTACTCTTTTTTTCAGAAATACAGCTGTGGAAATTCGTTTCAAACATGAATCACAGAACTGAAAGACTGCTGGTAAACCAGAGTACACAGCAAGCTCTGAGAATTTCAGATTACTGATAAAGGCTCATATTTTGCAGAGTACAAGGCCAAAATCCATAATCTTTACAATAAAACTGACCAAGCATTTTTTTAGCTATCTGATCACAATGACTATGCAAGACTTGTACAAGGAATTATACCCTTAAATGATAATTTTCTATTAAATGGAATCAAACAGATACATTAAAAAGCCACCCCAGAAAAAACACATCTTTAAAAAACACTTGAACAAAGCACAATAGTATTTTTTTTTTCAGAAAAAAATTCTTGAACTGCAATAAGAAGGCCAAAGAGTAGGAGAGAAAAGGTACAGGAGAACACCTTGGGAAAGATCGGAGCTTGAAAGTGTTTAGTCATGTTAACCCATTTGGAGGCCATCCAAGAACACAGAAAAACAAGCTGAAAGACCATTAAAGGTGCCTCTGGGAATTATGTACTTTGGGTTGCACAAAATATGGTACGTGTTTCAGAACTACATACAAACTGTTCTTTTATTTCAGGGAAATTTTGGAAAAGGTCATTCATATTGTCAAGACTGCTATAAAAGAAACAATAATATCTCTTTCAAACAACAGCTATGACTACAGAAAGATCTTTGAAAAGGCAAGTTTATGTTACTTACATTTAACAATGGCTTTCAATCATACATACAGTTTCAACTGATTTTAATTTGTAATGACAGATTTTCTGGACAAGATATTTTTTTAAACAGAGAGAGCGGTGACCGTGACCCCATCCACAAACAGCCGACATCAGCTGATTTTCCTGAACCGCTGCACCAGCTTTATCAAGACCTCTTCTTCCTTTCTTTTGCGATTTCACCACACCTCGTCCTAAGGCTAATACAGTACACAGGCATAATACAGAAGAGCACGTAATAGCCAAAGTCCATTTGTAAGGCGCAAGATATTATGCAAAAATGTACTGTTAATCACAACAAAGTATGCCAATAGAGACTGCAAAGGAAGAGTATGTTTGATTATACTGTAATGGCGATAAGATGATAATAATAATAATAATAATTATTGCTTACACTTATATAGCGCTTTTCTGGACACTCCACTCAAAGCGCTTTACAGGTAATGGGGATCCCCTCCACCACCACCAATGTGCAGCCCCACCTGGATGATACGACGGCAGCCATAGTGCGCCAGAACGCTCACCACACATCAGCTCTCAGTGGGGAGGAGAACAGTGATGAATTGGTAAGGGCCAATGAGCCACTGGTAAGGGCCAATGAGAAATTTGGCAAGGATGCAGGGGTTCCACCCCTACTCTTTTTGAGATTTTTGGGGGATTTTTAATGACCACAGAGAGTCAGAACCTCAGTTTTACGCCTTACCCGAAGGATGGCACCTGTTCACAGTATAGTGTCCCTGTCACTATACTGGGGCATTAGGACCCACACAGACTGCAGGGTGAGCGCCCCCTGCTGGCCCACTAACACCTCTTCCAGCAGCAACCTTAGTTTTTCCCAGGAGGTCTCTCATCCAGGTACTTACCAGGCTCACACCTGCTGAGCTTCAGTGGGCTGCCAGCTGTGAGTTGCAGAGTGATATGACTGCTGGCTATCTACTACTACCACTACCATCAACTTATTTCTGAGGGCTAAGCACTTCTCAGATTGTGGACTTTCTGTAGCTGAAGACTGCACACTAAAAGAGAACCACCAACTCTTCCTCTGTTATCAATGTCTCTGGACATTATAACACCACAAGACATAAGCAGACAATTTCCGCTTGTACAGTATGTACTTGTGAACAGGCCTGGGAAGGTGATGATGATGATAATAATAATTACATGACATGGTATTTTCAAATTCAATTTGAAATGATAAAACAAAGTGTACCATTAGAACAATGCAGATTTCTAATGATAAAACCAATCAAGGTTGGGTTTTCATGTTAACAAGTCTTAAAGTAGACCACACCTTTCAGTTTTCTTTACTTTTTGCAACAACACATCTGCACTTTGACGGAATGCTCTCATTTCTGCAGACTACATGTTAGTCAGTTTTCACAGCAATGATAAATTGAAGGAAGAAGGAGCTGCCACAATCCTTGCTACTAAATATTTCAAAAGCTCAGGGTTGTCACCACACCCCCTACACACACAACCCTGAATGGAATCAGGTAATAAAAGGCATAGTTACTAGCCCATGATATGCTGAGCTAGTCCCTTGCATAACTGTTCTCAGCGAGAGAAGTTTTCCCAATGGTGTCACAAGCACTGCAAACACTGAAGTCTAGGAATATTGCTTGAACATTTTTGAAGATTAAAAGACATGCAGTTTGTGAGCATTTTTAGTTTCAAAACAGACCAAAAAAGAACAAAGAATAAGTAGTTTTGGTTTGGGGACGGAAACACCTAGCTTCAACAGTTCGGGTTGTATTTTGGACTGTTTTTATTAATCCTTATGACATCTAACTGTATATACTTTTGATAACCACGCACAGTACAAAACTTAAAGTACTTGGTATAAAAAGCCCACGGCAGACACCTTGAAGGCTTTGTGGATCCAGGAGGAAAGACCAAGTATTGTTGATGAAACATTTAACATTTGGAGGCTCAAGCTTACTTCCTCGATGCTTTCAATGATTGTATACATAGTTAATCTGAATCTATACAGTAGTAATTTTTTAAAGACGTTCATAAAAATAAACACATTTTCTAAAAACAAACAAACAAACGCAGGACCCCAATGCAGATAGAGTTCTTTCATATTTGCGAAGGTAATCGTACATGAGCCGCAAGCTAGTGTGAGGTAGTGGTTAGTGATGTTTCTTACCTTTAAATGGCCGCTAGAAATGGGGGTGTTGTGAATGTTTGTAGGAAATGCACAAAGCCACGGCCTTTCACTGTCCCTTAAAGGGACAGTCACTATAAATGTCATTTTAAGCTAACGTTTTCATTTATAGTTCGCACTTATACTCGCGTTTTTATTTAACAGTACTAGGAATAAAGCTGAAAAACCTAACGAATGGAAACAATCAAAGCACAGTATCTTGGAAAATAGTGAAAAACGTAATTCATTCCCACCCCACTATTCTTTATTAGATTACTGTGTAACAAATCCAATTGAATTCAGAATGCACACACGTTTTGACGATCTACAAACCGCATTGACGGATCGAGCTATCTGCAAAATAACATTTCTGCAACAGCAAAAAAAAAAGTCAAAGTTGCAACATCTGTTGAAAGACAAACAACCTACTGATATCATCTGTGAGGGTGGATCGAATATTATGAATGCGATTTAAAAACCTCGGCCAATGCTCCATCATTCCATACAAACACGTCTGTAGAAATCGATGTGACGATAAACACAACGGGAATTTTTTATTTTTACTAACCTTTTTATTCTTCCTCTACACTTAAAGGATACCGTCTTCAAATATTTTACCTCCAGATGTTAGCTAACCTCTTACAAAAGAGGACCACGCACATTAACAAGCACATCTGTCCCTCCTACCTCATGCATATTGCAAGAAGCTAGGAAGATCGGACCAATTGTCTTTCAAGCCCGGCTGAGCATGCTGTCTCTTCTTCTCACACATTGGACAGACGAGCTCAAACCACCAGCGTCTGATCAGAGGGCTAGCAAGCGGCACGTGTTTCAATGTCCTATTTACCTTTCTGCTTGTGAATAGTTATGTATGAAATCCAATATATTATTTTCACTGGCCATAAAACAAATAAACAGCTGGGTTCACAACAATCGAGCCTTGAACGGGAAGGAGTCTGAAGGAAGAAAAAACAAATCTGCCTAGCAAGAGTGATTTATGACTTATGTTCTATTGCCGAGTTGTGCATTGCAAAAAAAAAACGTTTAGCATTGTAAAGACATTGATCAACTGGAAACATTTAAATGACATGCACCCTTAACTCAATATACTAGCAGTGAGGAAGCATAGCTAAAATTGCTACTCACAGTAATACTTTTAACTACATTTTCTTCTTATATTTGAGAAAACAATATATGAGTAGTAGTTATTTTTCAATTAAGCGTTTGCCTAAGGTTAAAAACAGTTTCTTTACTACTCTGTAAACCTATTTGAAAGACGAGATTTTCAAAGTCGTTCGAGATGTTACTTAAAAAGGTGTGAATGAATTGGTCTGTTACTGTAAAGCTGGTTCTTACAGACTTACAGTTCATTTGTGAACATTTAAAGTATCGATAGCATGCTTTTGGCTATAACCTTTCATTAAAACCCCTAACTATTTTTCCTGAACTTTTACCAAAATTGGCTTAATTGTTTGGATGTAACGTCACACCCAGGAACGCTTTCCTGTTTAAGCTTGTCCTCTTAGGGCAGGCTGAAGTACAAACAACATATCATTAAAAACTAATGATTTCTAAAGCACAGCTGCATCGATATATTTCCATTCAAGCATTGTGCAAAGGTGAACTGTTCCTTTAAAACTTCACCGGAACGTGAAGTCGAGGCACCCGGATTTAGACAGAAGCTTCACGGCAGTAAAAGCAGATTTGGAAGCTGCAAACGGGATCAGAGAGGAGACTCTTGTCATTTGTCGAGTAACCCGCATTTACAGCCAGTTCTCAATGGGGCGAAAAGTTACGTTAGCTACATGCAGTTTGAATCAATGGGCGTTAGACTTTGACGGGAACTTTGAAAGGATTTTGATCAGTAAGTAAAACATAATTTGTTCTCCGTGAGGAATATCCCACATACTGTACATTTTACATTGCAGAAAAAATAAGGGATACTTATTTTTTATTATTGTTCTTATGCATGGATGTTAGATCTTCATGCAGCATATTGAAAAATGTCACTGTTCCCGAGACTAATAATATTATGCACCCATACAGAGCGTAATTGTATTATTAACTACAGAAAGTAGAAGTAGTATAACCTGAATATTCTTCCTTTACTAGATTTGGCCCATGCAAATATGTAGTTTATGGCATTCGTGAATCCTACCGCCCCGCCTCATACATCTTTCCCATATATAGGTATCGAAATAGCTCAGTCTAAAGGAGCGAAATACAGACTGGGACCCGAACTGGAGATATGGTGTGTATATGTACTGTTACCCGAAAATCTAAAAATGTCTGATTATGTATCTTGGGGTACCTTTATTACAGATTCAAACTACTCAGTAAGCGATTTCACAATAAAAGAGTCTTGGGCAAGTGCAATTAGTAGTTACGTGCAGAAATGCAGGAGTATTGTGCAATTATAGGGGGGTCAGAGTGAATATGGGAAAGTAAATTTAAAAGTTCTGGTAACCTGCGTGGATTTTTGTTGAAGTTACTACAGTATGTATGGGTTAATGTTGGTTATGTAGTGTTGTTTGTTTTTAATATAATGGTTATTTGTACTGTTCGCATGTTTTTGTAAGCCTCTCTCTTTGTGTAAATAAGGGATGCTTGGAAGCAAAACAAATTTCTAAGAACTCAGACAATAAAATACTATTGTATCATATATTTGAAATAAGAAGCCAGAGCCAAATCAGATTTTTTCCCTGTCAACACACAAGAACACTGTGGGGTTTCTTGTGTTGGCTAAATAGTGCAACTGTCTGTGGGTAACTAACACAGTGGCAAAGATGGGTCAGTGTTTGTCTTGACCTCAGTTAATTTCAATTCGGTTTTGCAATGTATGTTTACGTCACTTCTCTCCATTGTATATATTAGTCTTGAGTAGTCCAGGTTTAAGCCACATCAACCCCCAAACCTTTCAATTTCCTGAACGTCCTCCATAGCTGTCACACAAATTAATTTGTGGGCCATTGTAAAAAATCTCAAATGGAGCTGCACCGTATTTCTTCACCGTGAGACAGAAAGACGTAACTGAGTTCCACTAACTGAGTTCTTTCTCCCCGACAGTGGTTACGGCTGCTATGACCATTTCTTCGAGTCGGATACAATTCTTCACTGTTTTCAAGTGTTGACAAAGCTGCTGGAGTCGCCAGTAACGCAGGGCATCATCTGTGATGTGGGCATGTAAGTGAGATTGACTTTCACAACATCAAACAGAAGAACCTTAACAAAGTGTATTTAACTCTGCCAAGGGTGTACAGTGTACTTACGTGTTTCCCCTTTCAATCTAAGGCCTATCATGCATCGCAGCATCCGATACAACTGCAGGGTAATATTTCTCAACAAGTAAGTGAGTATGTCTCTGGTATGGTGTAGATTTATTGGAAATTAAATTGGAGATGCTGTTGTAACATTGATGGTCTTTAATATGAGCAATATCACTTTCATTGCAATCAAGATAAAATTAATATATAGAAGGTATTGTGAGCCTTTATAAATTTGAGTATAATTACAATTTTTACCATATTTTCACATATGTAATATCAGCACCTTGAAATGTCTAGGGACAGCATAATCTGTAGCTTTTTATTTAAAATGAACCCTTTCATTTTTTCGTTCCAGAAAAATATTACTGATTCGTCCCAAAATGTTACTTGCAAATGGTGGAAATTACAGGGAATTCCGCTGGTTTTCACCCTGGAAAAAAACAAGGTGAGGGAGAGAGAGACTGTTGCATGTATTCTGCTCAAGTTTTATATTACCCTAATGTTTGCGCAGGTTGGAGGTACTCTGTAGTTAAAGAAAAAGTTCAGTCTATATAACAGCAACCTGAAAGAAAAACATTTTATCAGGAGATTAATAAATTATTGCAGTTGAAAGATTATCTGATTTGCCTCTTTGTACATGACAGAACTGCTTTAACTTCTATCCTGTTTTGTTGATGTTTCAGATATTTTGTGGCACAAAGTACTGCATGTAAGGCTACAGTATGTATGTATGTTTTAAACATTTAGGCCTTTGACCACAGCAAGCAGACTGTTAAAGCGACTTATATGGACAATGGGCACATGGTAGGGAATTGGGCATGTAGGTTTTATTATTTTTTGGCTTTCTTCAGGCATGTGGAGGAATTTGTTCTTCCTGAAATGATACAGGAAGTGACAGGACAGGTAAGAGGATCATTATCCACAGACTGTGTCTCAGATTCTTCTCTTAATACAGAGTGACAGCTTCAGTGCAAAGTAACAAATGAGAGATCAGGAATTAAATCCATACACACAGGTGAGAATAAGACACTCAGTTAAAAGCTGCAAACTACTGTACAATTGCTCCAATAGGGGAGAAAAAGTTTTAAAGGTTACTGTAACTTCCATTTACATCTATCAAAGTATATTAAATGTATGTGAATGCAGTGAAAATTCTCTACAAGGTATGGAATATCTTAGGACCTTGTGCTCATTTATAAGCAATAAATTATGGCTTGTAAAATCTATAGTGGCTCAAAAAGCCAATTTCACTGGGGGTTTTACCAACTAAAAATTATATTTTAAGATGTTGCATTTCGCTGGAATGCAAAGGCCAGATGAATACATGGTTTCAAACAGCCCTTACTCACAAAGTCTAACAGCCACAAGAACTTGATAAAAGCCTTTAAAAATACTTAGTGTACCTGCTAATCTTAGGACTGCTGGATTGTAGAATCTTGTGAAACCTACAACAACAAATATAAACCAGGAATACTAGTACATAGCACGAATAAACGTATCTCTGCAATATCTGTAGATAGATATTGCAAAGATATGTGAAATAGTTCTACTTACAGCCCTCACTATATCTTGAATATGTTTTTTTGCTAGGAAACAGTGCCATTTGGTGATGGAATCTTGGTCACAAAAGAGACTTGTCTAGGCAGTGAAATCTGCGCTGAGCTTTGGAGCTCCAGAAGGTAAATAGTGTTTGTGGGAAAACCTTTTTTCTTATTTTTAGGTCTTTTTATCCCTTTTTTTTAGTCAAGGGTTTAAACGAAATTCTAATATACAGATATTTCAATAAGAATTGGCCCTGTTGTGAGTGTGTGTTTTTGCGCCTGTGTATGTGATGAACTGGCATCCTGTCCAGGGTGTACCCTGCCTTGTACCTATTTCTTGCCAGGACAGACTTTAGCTCCTTCATGACTCTATATTGGATAAAGCGGATAGAAGATAGATGGATGTATTTTAATAATATACAGAAAGCCTGAGGCAATTGTTATTGTCTTGGTGTTAAAGAATCTAATCTTAGCTACATTCTTGAAGTCGGAAAGAAATCTTTGAGCTTTTCATTCAGATTGTTAATATCAATGTGATTATGGAACCATTGTATATGGTTTTATAGTCCCCACATCGACATGGGTCAGGATGGGGTGGAGATCTTTACCAATTCCTCAGGAAGTCATCATGAGCTCAGGAAAGCTTACCATCGAGTTAATCTTGTGAAATCTGCTACAGCAAAGGTAAGTGATGAATATTGCTATAGCAGCTCAGAGTGCACATTGAGTTTTACCTTTTAAAATGAGAGTTTCAGAGTACCATGGAGTTTTGGACATTTTCTAATGCAGTGGAAAACTCTTGAGTGCTTTGACAAAGGAAAATGTGACAAAAACCAAGAAAAAAAGCGAAATACTTTGAACTTAATTTAAAATACTCAAATTCCAAATATGGTTCATTCTGTATAGATCTATGTAGTTCTGGACCAGGACTGGACAAGACTTCAGCTGTTTTCAGACAGTCGGAGAGATGTAAATCTTCTTAATTTGTGTGGTGTTGGTTTATTGTGCCTCAGGAATGTGTAAAACTTCTTAACTTAGTTTTCACTCTAACACACTTCGAAATAACCAGCAACAAACAAATTGACAGTGTTTGAGACCAAATGAGCTGTGTTTATAACATGCTTACAGGGATGACACAGACAGCTTGGTGATTTTTTCAGTCTTTGTGTTCATTTCCTATCCTCTCGTTCTTGCTAAATCCATGAAGTCTCTTTGTCTTTGGCTGTACCTTCTGTTTATATCGGAGAAAACTTCAACATCAATAAAACCCTAAAACTAAATAAGCTACTGTGTGAGGAAAATCAAAACAATATTCAGTGCTATACATTTGTAAACAATCTAAAACAATTGCCAACCTTAATTCGACAGCCATAAATACAATTATGAAACAAATTATACTTAAAAAAAAATAAAACTAATATAAGTAAAAATTAGATTTGTAATGTTATGAGTTTCTTAAGGTGCCATTTAAAAGACTCTTTGAGAATAAAAGTACCCGAAAATAACAGCAAAAATCATGTGTGATTTTTAACTAAATTGTCTGTGGGTGCATGATTCATGCATTGTCCACAGCAATCACCACCCACCACTAACTACAGGCTTCCCTTCACATTTTATATGAATCTGAAACATTACTATGCAATTAAAAAAATGACTTCTAGTACAACTATATAACCATCTTACATGAATAAATGTGTATTTTTTTTAGCTTGTAGCACTCTGGGGGTGAGGCTGGAACACAAAAAATTAGTTTTCAATGACCATGTTTTTGTGTTACATTGCATCTTTCAGGAACACATCAGTCATGTAAATCAAAAACTGCTCGTATCCCATTTTGTATAGTGGTCGTTTAATTTCAGGTTGGAATGTTAGCTTTGAGCAGAAGATCTTGCATGTTGGAAGTCTGACTGTCCTTTGCTTGTCTGTAGGCTGGTGGGATCTATATTCTGGCCAATCAGAAAGGCTGCGATGGGGACCGCCTGTACTATGATGGTTGTGCAATGATCGCTATTAATGGAAACATTATAGTCCAAGGAACCCAGTTCTCCTTGGAGGATGTAGTAAGTACTTAAGATTGAAATATATTATTAATATAATTACACTTACAGAAATTACAGGTTCTTGTTGTTTAAGCAATGAAATGTATTTAGTGATTTTTTTTCCATGTCAGTTATGAATCAGTAGATGTTAACACTGAAGGCAGTGTAATGAAATGTAATGTCTTGACAAACTGACGTACAAAACACAGGAACATCTTGCTTGATTCTGGATGGCTCTTTATGATGGGTTTGAGATAAGAGAGATTGTTAACAACAAATTTTAGTTGCTTAAAAGACAGGACCAGGCTATGTAGACCCACAGTTTTCTTCAGCAAAGATGATTAGAGATATCAGACAATCAAATGATTTAGTGAATAAAACTCCAAAATGCTGGCACACTTGTTAGCATTGCCTCCTCACAGTGCTGGGTCCCTCGATTCACTTCCAGACCTGAGGTGAAATATGTGAAATATGCTCTCCCTGTGTTTGTATAGGTTTCTTCCGGGTGCTCCAGTTTCCTCCCACAGTCCAGAAACATACCGTGATGGAAAATGTGTGCGTGTTTGTGTCTGTGTGTCTGCCCTGTGATGGACTAGAGTCCTATCCAGGGTGTATCTCGCCATGTGCCCATTGCTTGCTGGGATAGGCTTCGACAGCACCGTGACCCTTAACTGGCAGAATCTTTAAGAAAATGGACGCAGTCCAAATTCAACTATGTTATCTGGAGGTGTTGGATGACCAGGAAGAACTGAAGGAAGGGGATGCTATTCCACAACCTCACTCCCAATGTTCAGTCACTGACACGGCACAGCAGGAGTGTTGTTGTTTATTTTCCGCTGCAATTTTTCAGTTGCAAAATTGCATGATTCTGTACTTCAGAATAGACACTTCTGGGGTCATTATAAATCACGTGTAACAGTATACTTGGCAAATTATGGCATTAAAAGAAACATTAAAACTAAAAAAAAGTTCTGTGAGGCATCCTAATATCTTAAAGTCACTGTCAATTCGTTTCCAGAACTGAAGCACATGTAAAGGTTAATAGGTTAAATAATCTAATTTGGAGTTCTAAACCATACAAGTACTTACTTACCTTAACATAGACCTGTTTTGTCAATAAATGAAAAATTGACTAATAAAGACTTTTAAATAAAAAAATAAAATGATGAAAACTAATCAGTCCTTTTATTTTCTACCCTGTAGGAAGTTGTAAGTGCCACTCTGGACCTGGAAGACGTCAGAAACTATCGAGGGGAAGCTTGCCAGTCCTTCTTGGTATTATCTTCCTGTTTTGGGATGATACTTTATTTGATGGTGGCTTTATTGTAGCCTGTGTAACATCTTCACAAAATTGTAATTATTTATGACTGTTGTTCCAAACGACATAACAGACGTATTCATAACATTTGTCAAGGTGCATGTTATTATATATTTTAGGGTTAGTATTAGGATTAGTTAACATGACAGATTATAATGTTTGATAAGCATTGTTTATTTTACATGTTAGAATACTTATGTGCTTCTTATTGCTCTTGAAAGAATGGTCATGAAGGACTTTGAATGTTATTATAAAGTCATAGGCAATCTCTGGGGATTTTAGGAATGTATTATGCAGTGGGGCATAAGGCTGTGTTCATAAAGAGGCTTTCTGTTTTTTCTGAATGTTTTTACTTGGGACATAGTGATGTCTGAATGTCACTTCATATGCACAGCATTTTATGCTTCATGCATTGTCTTTCAAAACATCACAACGCATTAAACAAATTCTTTAAATACATGGAACGTGGTTCTATTAAGCTATACAGATAGTTGATATAAAAGGTTTGTATTAGAATCTGATACTCAAAAGTTAAACTACTGTATATGACATGCATGTAGACTACAGGTATTTTTCTTTTTTTAGGATAATGATTCCAAACCATATTATAGAGTAAAGGTGGATTTTGCGTTGTCTGACAGTAGTGATATGTATCTCCCATCATATGAGTCAATTCAGTGGCAGTTCCATACTCCAGAAGAAGAGATCAGGTAAGTAGTGCCATAAAAAAGCAACACAAGGCCACATTTAGCTTTTATGTCTTCTCGTCAGTACTGAATCAGTACAGATAGGACAAAATTGTGTATCTGTGTTGCATATCTCACTTGTTCACAGAATTATTCATGGTTGAGCCTCGCTGATTTGGCACCCTGTGAAGTAATTAATTTAAGGAAGGTCTTTCTGCAGCTGTTTGTGCCGGATGTGCATGTAACAGTGGAAAAGGGGAACTTAAAATGACAGACCAACACTCATAACACACATGACTATATATATTACTTTTTTTCAAGAAGCTGCAGAAGCTATCAACTGCTCCTCTAAAGATACAGTAAAGGTGTCTTTGCAGGTTTATGCTGTCATAGCAATTGTTTCACACCTTCCTTATATTAATTGAAGGTTTTGAAATGTGAATAAACAATCTGTTTTGTTTGTTTTTATCTGTCATTACGATGGCTACCAAGTCTAGGACCAGCTTGCTGGTTATGGGACTATCTGAGACGAAGCGGCCAGGTAAGACTGATGCCCTTGTAGATTTCTTGTGCTAGAAACCCTCATAGCCAGTGTGGGTATTATTTACAGGGCCACATCGAGTCCTTCAGAAAAGATTATTTCATAATCTAGAGTTTAGACCTGTCTGTTTTCCTAGCTAAATTCCACTCTGGGTTTGTACAGTCTGGCCTCCATAAAGTTCCCCCTTAATTCAGTTGGTGAATTCCTACTCTCTGTGTAATCTTGTATAGTAGAGCTCAGATGTATAAGATAAAATTACTTTATTAGCCATATGCAATTTCTTGCATTAGGAATTTGTCTTTTTTGCATACCCCAACTTGCTCTCCATGAGACACACAGGCACACAGACAGAGAGAAGCTTGGGTCAGAGCGCAGGGTCAACCACTTACTGTATATGGCACCCCTGCAGCAGTTGGTGTTAAGGGCCTTGCTCAGGGGCCCAACGGAGTATGATTCGTCTGCCAGCTGTGGGATATGAACCGGCAACCTTCCAGCCACAGGCGCAGATCCTGAGCCACAGAGCCACCACTCCGCCTAATGTCAGGCATCAGACATGTGGATGCTGCACACTAGTGGTGGATGAACTGTGTCTCCACATGCATAAAACATTTGGGATCATATGGGATAAAAAGCGCCATACAAAAGCTTGTTAATTTTAGATAATGAACTGTAGGTCAAGTATTGTTTTCCTTTGGTGGAAGGCCACTGGGGGTTTGATATGGGCCAAAGATGAAATTCTTTCAGATCCAGTACCCAGGAGATTGCTTTGGTTTGGAGAACCAAAGAGAGCCTGGTGTCCTTTAAGCTTTAAAGTTCAACCCCACTTCATGCATTTTATAATGAGCGGTTGTACGCTGGTTTATACTAATAAACCCCCTCTGAATGTTTCTTTTCCAGGCTGGGTTCCTCTTACCTCTCAGTGGAGGAATTGACAGCTCAGCCACTGCTTGTATCGTGTATTCCATGTGCCACCAAGTCTGCCTGGCTGTCAAAAATGGAAGTTAGTATCCAGGAGTACCTTATATTGAAAACTGGAAAAAAATGTGTCATTGGAAATGCAGACCTGTGGGCTTCATGTCCTGGCTGCGGACAGAAAGACTGTGCTGTCTCATGTTCAGTATTGTACTGCAACAAGAATCTTCATTTTAAATCCTCCTCAGCTCCTGAAACCTCTAGAAATAGCACAGTTCTTTCGGGCTGCTTGTTAGCTTGAGATTAAACATTTAAGTCTGCGTGAGCTGTAAGGGGAAATCCTACAGATTAGAGTACAATAGCATGTTATGCACTTAAAATGCTTATGCCTGTGTTTTTTTTAAGATATATCTAACAGCAATAGCCATAAAACATAGCCGTACAAAATGGCATTATAACCTAAAACCCCACAGCCTGTCCTGCAGAGGGAGAAGGAATCTAAACACTTCATCAGGAGAACGGGATTAACGTAGACCTTATTGTCAATACATTTAGAGGTTAAATTTACTTTAATCTTAATAAAGTGGTCATGCTTCAGTCTGTAATATTTTAGGAACAAAAAGATTAAAACTTATCAAACAGCTTGTCATAGTAGTTAACTTCCTTTCTGTCAGCCCTGCATAAATAGCCCATACCCCCAAATAAAAATCTTTTAGAAAGTCAGTCTGGTTTTAGAAACAACTGGAGAGGAATCACTTCATGAATAACAGGACCATTTTAAATGTCTTGTAAGAAAACAACACGATACATGCTGCAGGTCAGGTGTTGTTACTTTATTACTGTGTGTTTTTATTACTAAACAATATAGATGTAATAATGAAACCATTTGAAACTGACCAGAAGCAACCCTGCTCATGCAGTGACCAAGTTAATTTTGTCTTTTCTATCCAAGGTTTATGTCTGTTTTTTATTGTGTTACATAAGAGATCATGGTTCTGGGTTTCCCTATGGGCAAAGTGCAAACAGATTTGCAGATTTAATTCTTAATAAATTCTACTGGGGCAGGCAGCTTGCACACCATGACAATAAGGGCCATTATCTTTTTTTCTTCTTCTTCAAGGAGTACCACAATGTTAAGGTGAAGCAAATAATTTCCATTCTTAGATGCTAATTTCCCATGCCTCCCTTTGGTCCAGATTCCCAGGTGCTTGAGGATGTCCAGAGGATAGTGAATGACCTCTCATATATACCCCAGGACCCCAAGGAACTGTGCGGCCGGATTTTCACTACCTGCTACATGGCAAGTGAGAACTCCTCTCAGGACACCTACAACAGGGCCAAGGAGCTGGCTGCACAAATAGGCAGGTAGGATTGCTGATCTAAGCCTGAAATTCTGTTTCTCTTCTATGATAGTGCTATTGTTAAAACTTTGGGGAAGAAATAAATCCTTTCCATTTTTGCAGATGATGTCCAGCAGCTCCTGATCTAGGCCTGAAAGAATGTTATTTTTTACACCTTTTATACACAGAACTTGGCCTATGTGAACGTGACCATGCAAAGGTTTGTGCCATGCTGAAAATAGAAAAGAAACAGAATCATTCGGCTGTGGAGCCTTCTTGGGGTACAACCTTTTTCGAGTGAGCCTTCTTCACACCCGAAGAAGGCTCCACACCTGAAACGTTGTGTATCTTCATTTCTGTTTTCATCATGGAATAAACCTTTACTGGTTCCTTTGCGGCCTACGGATGCTGACACAGCTCCCTACTTTAAAGTGACCATGTTGTCTGTCTGTATTTGTGAAGGGCAAAACACTTCCTACTTCTAAAAGTTCTTTCTCCACTTTAGGTCTTCAGCAAGAGGAAGATGGATAGTGCGATGGCTAAATCTTTGATCATTTATTTTTTCCAGCTACCACATAAACCTAAACATTGACACAGCAGTGAAGGCCTTGATGGGAATCTTTTCCATGGTAACAAGAAAGTGGCCACAGTTCCGTGCAAATGGAGGAAGTACAAGGGAAAACCTGGCTCTTCAGAATGTGCAGGTAAAATCATGCAGTTTTGGTGCTTATTTACTGCAAAATAAACTTTCTGTACAGGGATATCTTTTTCCAAATCAATTACAAATGAATACATTGTAATTATTTTCCATCTGCACTGCTCAGTAAAATCTTAGAATTGCTTTGTTAAAGAATTATCTCTAGAGAAACTATGAACTCATTGACTGCATGTTATGATGCCAGTGCAGTGTAAAGAAGATGTAAACAAAGAAGAATAAGAGAACAGGTCATGTCAGGTTTCCTATTGTAATGTGAAAAACAATTGTATCTGATTATATCAAGATACTACTAAGTTGTCACTCCTTTTTTTTATATAAGCTACCAGCTACCTCTATAGAAACTATCTGAAATTAGGGCCCACACAGTTACATTGGGAAGACATTTTAAAATGAAGATAAAAGTTTTATAAAATTCTACAAATGAATACCTTGCATAAACACTGCTGAAAGTGTATTTTCTCCTTGGCTGATACAAGTGTTTAAAATCCTCAAAAAGATATTGACAAGGTCAACCCAGGGAACTGCTTAAGAATGACCAGGGAAATGTAAACCAGAGGATCCAAGTGAAAATGATGTGGAAATGTGTTTAAAATCTAGAATTGCACAGGGTTGTAGGAGTGTTGTTGAAGCTGACACCCTGACTTCTTTGAAGAAAAATGGCTGGATGAGAGATCCTTGGATTCATTAGCTGCTAATTGTCAAATGCAATATACTGTATGGGCAGAACATACTCGTTAGTAACCTTTCTTATGTTCTTGTGGTTCATTATAATTATTTTCAGGCCCGGGTAAGGATGGTCTTGGCATACCTTTTTGCTCAGCTAAGTCTGTGGTCACAGGGCAAGCCAGGTGGGCTCTTGGTGTTGGGGTCAGCCAATGTGGATGAGTGGTGAGTGTGAGAGGACAGCGTGAACATTTTATGTGATCTTACAGACAGAGCAGCAAATACAAAACAAGAAATGTCCAGAACAGCTCACACCAATGTGGAATGGGTGAAAGGGAGGGTCGAAGTACAGTACATGCTTTCTCAAGACAGGCAAATAACATCTGACCGTGCTATCACAGTTTCAGGTTTCTGTAATCAAGTCAGACGTCCTTCTGTAAGAACAACAGAAAATAAACACAGCCAAACGAGAATTAAGGTTATCTCAGTTCCCACCTAGCCTCATAAAATACAAAACAGTTTTTGCTTGCAGTTAGACCCGTGAAGATGCTGAACTTGTTTTAAGTATGATAATGAAAGATATTTGAGGGCTGGGATAAATTGGAAATAAAGTATACTAGACAATGTCAGGATTAGGTAAAATATTAGTAATGGAGTAAAGCATTGTATAAAAACTAAGATGGAGCTAACATGTTCCTGCATGAGATCTATGTACTTGTTTCCCTAATTAAAAATTGCATGCTTAAGAAACATTGAATCGCTGTATTCTGGACTGTAACCTACCCTCTCCTTTCTGTTATCTTGCCGTTTATAGCCTGACAGGATATTTGACCAAGTATGACTGCTCTAGTGCCGACATTAACCCTATTGGTGGCATCAGCAAGGCAGATCTGAAAAGCTTTATTCAGTACTGTACTGAGAAATTCCAGCTCACTGCACTGCGCAGGTGAGTCTTGCAACAGCTTTTTTAAAGCTGTAATAAAGTAGAAACAGGTATTTCTTTACATTTGTGAATAATTTTACTCCAGGTTTTTTTTTTAATTATATCCACCAGATATTGAATTTAAAAAATAGATTTTATACTGATTAATACTGTAAAATATTGTGAAACAACAACAAACAGCTTGCTTTTCCAGTCCATTCACTCAATCCCTTTTCATTGTTTATTTACAGTAGCAGGAGCATACAGTATTTCAGTAACAGGAAACAAGCATACTGTTTTCAAGATCATCATTATTGTGAATGTTCACTCTCATAACAGAACAGACAAAAAATGCTATTAGTTTTTAGAGATTAAAAGGAAAAAACCAAGGTGTTTCAGCAAAAAAATAGCTTTGGTTGTTTCTTGTTCGTTTTGCCTTAACTTTTTTTGGTTTGTTCAGTTGTAAGAGCAGGCATCTATCATGTTGACAATAGTCAAAATGTTGTGAAGTCTGCTCACTATTATTTTACATTTGTGAAGGGAAATTTAAAGTGTTATTTAAATATTAAAAAATATAAGGTATGAAAACTTATAGGAAAACGTCTTGGTTACAGTGAGTATCGAGCAGGCACTAGTGAGTTTTTCTTAAGTACTATGAAAGTAATATGAAAGCCTGATTGTTTCTCAGCCCCTTCATTCCTCTCTGTACTTGTTTGTTTTTTATAGTATCATATCAGCTCCTTCCACAGCAGAACTGGAGCCTTTGTCAGATGGTCAGATTTTGCAAACTGATGAGGTAACCCCAAAAACAGGTTCTGCTGGCTAGGTTAATTAGCATTAATTAACAATCGAAACACTAATCATTGAAATAAATCACTCATGTATTTTTAACAAATAATTTTCAATCTTAGATGCTGCTTTGCCATGCTTCCCTTTTGTCCAGCATGTATTCTATCATGCTGAACATTTTTATGTTAACAAATAACATTTATTGTTGGATTCGGTTTTGGAAAATTCATTTTAAGAAACACATTTTTCATACAGTTCCTGAAATGTGTCATTAAATCGATATGTATTTGTATGTAAATATATATAGGAAGATACAGATATTCAAATACTTTCTTAACAGATAGGACTTAACATTAAGATAATTACAATATCAGAAGGAGATCAATACTTTTAAGATTGATTGGGAAACTTTTACTGGTTGTGAGAAATTATTTTTTTCCTCCCAAAGTCTGACATGGGGATGACCTATTCTGAGCTGTCAGTATTTGGAAGTCTGAGAAAGATTGCAAAGTGTGGACCATACAGCATGTTCTGTAAACTTATTCACACATGGAGAGAGATCTGCTCGCCTGCACAGGTCTGTCATTTCCATTCTAATGTGTTTTCACAACTAAAACAGTTTCCGTCTGGTTGGGACTGGTTTTTCCTTTAGAAGTCTCAGAACAAAGACACAGTTTGCATTTCTGTTTAATATATTTATCACTAATCTTATTTTTAAAGAAGTGTATTATTAGAAGATGCGTAAAGAGGGTTATTTTAGTTAACCACCACCCCCCTTTTGATCAGAGAAAAGTCTTTTTGAATGAGTATTAAACTCAGCTTTTACTAAATCTTTTAATTTGTTTGGCACGTTTCAAAACATGGAGGACTGCAAAAAGATTACCTTATGAAGAATCAAACAAGAAAGAACAGACCAATGTCATGATTGTTCTGATTTGATCACTATTTCGTGAAAATGTAGCAACACATGAACATACTTCAGTATAAAATATTAGATGTAGAATACATTAAAACTCAAATTAGAGCTAATTTGTTAAAAGTATCATCTGTCCAATTATTTTCATGATCCGTACTATGAAAATATTTCTTCAAATTGTTGAATCACTGATCTTGACAATTTAGTTTCAGTCTATGAAACCGAAAACTAAAGGTAGAATGTAGTAACTGTAAGAATGTAGGAACACAATTTGATCTGTGGGTTTTCAGTACAATCTTATCAAATCTTGTCTACCAATTGAAATGCCAAGATAATGAATCTTACTTCATTGCAATTTTTATAATTTAAGAAACATTTGTAAACTATTCTGAATGCTTAAGCAAAAACTGAAAATGCCATTTTTTGTGAAACCCAGCATGAAATCTTTACTTTTTTGGTATATGGGCATTTAATTAATTAATAAGTAAATAGATCAGATTAATTTATTTGGAACAGGGAATAAAAAGATGTTCGTTTTTTTGGATGGTTTGTGCTATTTACATTCCAACAGATTTAAATAAGAGTTTTAATATTTTGAAGTTACTGATTTTTATTTATTTTCAGATTAGGTCATAAGTATTTGTTAATCTTGTGTGTGGGTTGGTTTGAGAATGAATGTACTCGATGAATCGGTTGGTCTCTGATCAATAGTAATTGTTGTGTTAAGTAAAGGTCTCTGACTTGGGTACTGTAATGACCTGACATTGCATCTGCATTGAAATATTGGCAATTGTACCTCTTTTCATAGACTCAAATATTAACTGCTATCCAGAAGGAGTTACCATTCCTTGTCCTCATAATATGCACACTTCTCTGCTCCGGTTAGCCTTCCTAGTTACCTGTTTATTGTGTGCAAACATCCGAATGACATTCTTAAAACATGAAATGCAAGTGGTAATCTTCTGTTAAATTGTTCATTGCACTGAATCTTAAGTGCCTCAAGTACATTTTCCTAATTTTAGGTGGCTGCAAAGGTGAAACACTTCTTTAGGATGCATTCAGTAAACAGGCACAAAATGACCACTGTGACTCCGGCCTACCATGCTGAAAACTACAGTCCCGATGATAATCGTTTTGATCTGAGACCCTTCTTGTACAACGCAGACTGGCCTTGGCAATTCCGGTGTATAGATGACCAGGTAAGTACTTCACAACACCTCCTGCTGAAGAACTGAGTCACACTGGGCAAGTAGTGCTCTGGTAAGGCAAAATACCTAAAACATAATCATTAATTTATATTAATAAATAACAATCCTTATTTTATATAGTGCCTTTTAAAAACACCCAAAATCACCTAAAAGCACTTGAGTCCCTAATGGTGTGTAATCAGTTTCTGTGTATCATGAACTAATCATGCTAACTTTTTTGAAATAAATGCAGTGTGGCATTTTTTCCCACAGGTATCTAAAATCGAAACTGAAGATGACACCCATTTTCATGATGCCTTGAGCAGAGTTTCCTGAGTGAAGCTGCAGTTCACTCTTGGTTAAGAAGAGTTTTGATTTCCTTCCTTCACAATAAAGCTATATCTCAGGTACAATACTGCCCTTGTGAGATTAGTCTTTGTCCTGTTATGGAGGCAAAGGCGAGAAAAGTGTCTACATGCTGTGGAACAGTTCTTATCTCATGCAAATAACCAGCTTAACTGATTACTTCACATATTAATCACTTACCTTACCAATGAATCCATTTTTACTTGTAGTTTTCATGCAGAGTAGGGCCAAAACATGCATAGTTTACAAGACAAAACTAACAAAAATAATGTTAGATATCTGTTACATACATTTTAAAGAGAGTTGTTTCAGTTCATTTTGTTGCATTTTATAATGTTATTTTGTGCTGTTACCTTTCTTCTGATAGCCTTGTCACATTTCTGCGATTTAGATTTTTTTGTTGTAAATGTAATACAATCAGGCAGTGGTAAACTGTATTGTGCACATTGAATGATCAAACAAATAATGATGAAAGGTTTAAGTACTTTAAAAAATCTGTATCAGGTATCGTCACGCAGAATCAATCCGTGTCAGTGTGAGAGATTTATCATTTTGTGATGAAAGGAATGGATGTGTTCAAAATGAGTAATGGTATCTTTGTTTACCAATTAGCACAAATTGATAGGCATTTTAGTTGCAATCCAAATGTAATCTACAGTGCACTGATTAGAGAGAAGCACACTGGAATTTGTTTTTAACATGTCATAATAAGAAACTGTATTCTAGACAAAACTTTTCAGTGATGGGCTCTAAAGAAAAAATAATGAAACTTATTTCTTGAAAAGGTTGGTGCACAATTCAAAGAATTATAACTTGCTTTCGTATGCATTGTCCTTGTTCATTGAATGTATTTGTTAAAGACAATTCTGTAAATTTCAAGTACTTTCTGAAGTTATTTAATTTGTGGATTACTAGATGCAATGCTCCAAGAGATTTATTGCCTATTAGAATGTGCTGCAGTTGAATTACACTTGTCTGAAAAGCAAAACCCAATGACCCATAATCTTGTTTATTATGTCATTCAAGGACCTTGAATGCAATGCCTAGGACTCTCTTGCATTTGTTTTACAAATGTATAAACTTGTTTTGCCTCCGGAGTGAAACCTCTAACATTATTGTAGCGCATGCTGTAAGTACAATGAACAATCGGAGCTCCAACATGAATGGCAAACTACCTTTTTGCTGACATGCAGGGATTATACATTTTTGTAGAGCTGTATATGGACAGTGTCTATATTTTCTGGTAAATGCTCTATTTAACTAATTACAAGCAACCTTAATCAAAGATGGGGAGAGGGGGGATAAGTGCCAAAGGAACAGGAAAAGGTTCATTCCAAAGTAGAGTGAAATACACAGTGGCTTTCTAATGTGGATTCTTAAACTTTTTTCAGCATAGAATGAACCTCTGCTTTTTCCTTGCATTGAGTACTTGAACTTAGGAGAAACCTTAAAATATTATTTTATTCATTGTTCCCATTGTAACAGTAAAGCAATCTGTTAATGTTAATAAAACTCATTTTAAAAGTCAGGGCATTTCAATTCTAAACATCGAGGAACAGTATACTCCCACAAACGAACAGAATGTAGGAATTAACTAGAAAATTAACGCAAGGTCATTGTCACGCCTGGGTTTTCAGAAGGAAAATCCCATTGAAGCAGTTGTTCCAATTCCTCGCTAGTCAGTCATTACACATTTGCAGATCCTTTGGAAAAGATATGTAAAAATGGCAAATACTTGACAAGGACTTTAAATAAAGCTTTACGTGCTGCACACACAAAAAAAACAGGTATGTATAGCTGTAAAAATCTTTTGGAAGAAATTCATTTTCTTTCAGTCTTTTCTTAAAAGTGAACCCATTTATCTAAAAATGGTTTAAATGTATAAAAAAACATTTTTTGAAAAATTGCCCCTTCCCTGGATAAGGAAATGTGTGATGTTTCCTTAATTCTATCAAACATCTAATGAAATCTAGCATGTTAGCCGACTCCGGGTTGATTTAATTCAATCCAAATCCTGTTATCCTTGTATATGCTGTATACTCGTTGTTCTGTAATATTCTATATCTGGATGGTAGAAGGTTGGTTTCTTCTCATTATACTTTCATATTTATTGTACCCTGAGGGGCTGCAGAATCAAGCGACTTCAGCCAATATTCTGCTGTTATTTTACCGGCGTCTGGGTCTGCAAGGTTACCCAGTTCATTAACAGATGTAGGTGTGAAATGAGCTGTCAAAGGTTTGTACACTCACGGTGGTGTGAAATAGCTCCGGAAGTGGATTTAGCTCTGAAAGGTTAACCACGCTTACTTGCACAGCTTGTGAAATAGCTACATTAATTGAAAAGTCTCAAGCTCAAGTGAGTGGGTCAGGCCAAATACGTTCCCCACTCTTCCGGCTGCAGGCAAGCGGCACTTTAAATACACGATCGTTTTGTAAAATTGAATTATAATAAAGCATTCAAGAATCCCGTGTGACGTTTAAATCTCATATTGTATAACAATGGAAATCTATCCGAATAAACATGTCAGATCTGTTGTATTTTACAGGTTCAACCGCCAGCCTTTACTTGTGTTCCCCGGCTGTTTTTGCCTTGGAGACCTTGTTCTGGTTTAGATATGGCTGTTATATCTTTAGAAACACACTCATCAAGATCTCGATTTCGGCAGCAGTAGAAATGACCTTACCTAACCTTAAACTAATTTAAGCGTTGAACGTGTAGTGCTTGTTCTTGTTCATTTGACTAATCAAAAGTAACCATGGCTGCTTCTCTACACATATTGACAAAAGATTGTTTAATCCTTAGTTTCTTCTCTTGTTTGTTTTGAAAACGCAAACTAAATATTATAGATAGATAGTTTACGAAAACGATCACATTGTTTCCCAGCAAGCTACTTTGTTGAAGCAAGACATTGATTTACTTTTTAAGATCGTTTTTTTTTTATTATCTAGGCGGCCCAATCAACAGACTGATGTAATCTAAATACAGTCGGTGCTGATATTCCCTACTCAATCATGAATTAATGAAAGCGCAGGAATACGCACTTTGTGCAGAGCTTCATACGCCCGAGCGCCCGGTCACGCCCCCGGGCCGGCTTGCTGGGAAATGCAGTTGTTTTAAAGCAGCTGGAGCAGAGCTTTGCCTTTCGAAACGACACATCCGACTCGAAGAAAGCGAGGAGTTCCGCAGTGCACCGTTCTCTCACATGCGAGTAGCCAGTGGCTGAATTTCAGTGCTAAAGTACTTTTCCGAAAGAGGTTATGGGAGGAGTAAACTTCAGGAAAACCAAAGTCCCTGCACTTTGTTTAGCTGCGGCATTCAATTTAAAGTAACTCGGGGATTTGTTTTTTTTTGTGTGTGTGTGTAATTTAGACCGAAGTGCAGCTAGCAGAAAAGGTTCGTGTTTTCCAACACAAAAATAATCTCGGGACTGGGCACTTCAGAGATACTGACATTCTCAATCATAAAGAGCTGCTAAAAAACAACTTCGGAGCGGTGTGAAATACAAGCTGAGATTTCACTGGATTCTCTGACTGGGATTGCTGGTAGAGTTGAATGAATGGAGACCGATCCATTGCTTCCTCGAAGCGTGAGCAGTGGTTTCGAAGGCAGTTCGGGGTCTCGCCGTGACAGCGGATACTATGGGACCACCGCAAAACCGAGAAAGCTTTCCTATTCCGTCCTCGAAAACTCTTGCTCCATAGAAGGAGGTAAGTTTCTTTACCTTGACAACTATCTTAACACCAAAGGCACCTGTAAGCGGAGCGAATTTACAAGTGTTCAGATGGTTACGGTGCTTTATTGACATACAGTGCCTTGCGAAAGTATTCGGCCC